CCCTCCCCCAGTCCATCTTCTGCCGCCCTCTTGTCTCTGGCATCTTACCCCATTGAGAGCTTGCCCTTGCCTTTATTCGTGAATTTCACATGATATCAGACGGCTGCAAGCAAGTTGAGCGCAGTGCTCAACTCGCGGCGTGCATCAAGCTCGTCAGTGCCGTCATGCAGCCGATAGTGGTGTGCCACGAGACGCAGCGTAGCCCTGTAAACCCTGTATCTGATTTCGTCTCCGTCAGTTTTGTTGAACAACCGTTTTTTTCCCTCTCCAAACATGGGAAACTGGGAGTTGGGGGGGAGAAAGTTAATAGTGGAATGGGAGTTCGGGGTAAATCCGAACCCGACGGTAATAATTTATACGGAAGAAAATCAAAAGGAAAAAAACATGGCTACTACTCACATCATAATCCTGACCTTTGCGGGCCCTGTCCTCGGCGCACATTCACCCAGGCCAGTCAAAAACGCCTCGCTAGCGTCCGCCATACCGCCGCTCATAAGTGGATCGCCCCAGAGGATATTAGAGAAGCCGAAGAGGCCAACGACCTGCCTGGTATGCTCGTCGAGCAAAACATTGTCTGGAATGCACGCATTGGGCGCGACGAGGCGCGGCTCCATCACTTTATCCAAATGGTGCGCGTGCTTGCCGATCCAGTAACGGATGCTCTCCGAATGCAGGTTGACCAGCATGTCTTCTGCGTCCCGCAGCGTCGACTCGAGTAGTCCGAGGAACGCTTCGCGCCAGGTGGTACTGCCCTTCTTGGCGAAGACGCGGTGGGCCTGCCCGAATTGGGGAGCTGATAGGGCCGTCAGCGAGCGCATGTGCGTGCCCATGGTGTGATCGATTGCATTGCGTTCGCTGGGCGTGAGATACGGGGCGAGTTCTGAGAGCCGTCGGCCGGGTATGTGGCTCATTAAGAGAAAGGGCCGCCCGAGTGCTGAGCTGTGACTGTCAAATGTGATGAGTTGTGGGACCGGTACCCGGGTGTATTCGCGGATCATCTCGAGTGTCTTGCGTTCGGTATCCAGAATGTGTTTCTCGTGCCGGAGCAGTCGAACATTGTGTGCTGGTGGGCACTTGAGCACGAGACTGCTGCCATCTGCAAGTCTAGTGACGTAGATCTGCCCAAGATAGCCTTGGATAACTTCTACCTGTTGAACTGTGATTTTTGACGATCGATATACTGTTCGAATCAGTCGTTGGATGCTGGAGGTGTCGAGTGTAGTGACGCTAGTCTGGATAGACGCTCTTGATCGAGATGAAGACGAAGACGATGTCGAAGACGAAGATGTGGATGTAGAGGACCGAACAGGCTTCACAGCATAAGTGCCACGGCTCATATTGGGGGGTTTGTAAATGGCAGCATGTCGCGGGGGGTGATGCATTATGTATCACCAGCCGCTCACTACCCATGTGCTAGGTTCAGGCGGAAGATTTAGCGCCATTTCACACCACAGATGCTCCAAGCGCTTCTAGTTGCTCCATGCCATGGACCGGCCCGAGCAGAACGAATGATTCGTGTCTATAGCATCATCTGTGCCTTTCCTTTTTTTAAAAATTCATGGCAATTGATGCCTGACTACTGTCCGGTGAAGGACCGGAAATAAGAGCATCACTAGAGGAACCCGAGCAAGATCGAGTGTAATAAACAAAAACCACTCACTGCAGGTGAATCTAGTCATAAAATTGGCCGAATCCGTCTATTCTCGCGAATATACATCAGCGCATCGACAAGTTGAGCACGTGGGTAAGCCATGTTGGCCATGATTTCAGCTACATGCTCCTGGGCTGAGAAGCCCTATGGGCCATTCATACGTGTACGGCACCCGTTATGCAAGTACCGTCCTACTAGTGCCTAAACTAGCATATGCGAATCTCAGGACGAACAAGGACGCGAGAGGCGTTCGTTTAGATGCTGGTGTGGCGCGAGGAGCGTTCGTCAATGTTGACCAAATACGGTTAGCCTCTAGATAGGTAGATCGCCTATCGGAATCCAGAATTTGTCATGGGGACCAAAGGACAGAGGGCGCATAAGTCATTAATGCCGCTTAGGACATGCTGATGAAATTGAACATGTAATCTATGGAGTTTTCGGACATCTTGTAGCTTATGAGGGAAAGGTATTACGATCAGCATGGTGTCAACAATTGATACAGAGCCGACATTGACGTGGCGTCTTTGCATCAGGGTAGAGCCTTTCAACCATCCTTGACTATCGGACACTCTTCCGTCATTGGTGTGGTGAGTCTCAAACTCGTCTGTGAAGCTGGTGTGCGAGTCCGATATGTCGGAGACGAGTCGCAACAAAGAGCTGATGCGTGGAGTCAGCACTTACATAGCAGCTATGCTCCTCACATAGTCTTACAAGGCCTTCCGGTGTTTCACATGTGCTACTGCACATCCAAGCCACAATAGCCACAGTCGGAGGATTTGTTGTTTGTGGACATTGATGCGCTAGCGTCTTGGCCTGAAAGTGACAATCCATAGAACACGCCGATTGATTCGTGTCTGCTCACTCATCTTCTTTGCCTTGAGTGATCTTGCTACCGTCCTTTGTGGTCTCTGGAGCAGTGGAAGATATTGGCTGGCGTAGCTCCTCAATATTGAAGCGCTTGAGTTTCTCAAAATCGGGACCTACTACGCTCATGCCAATGACGTTCTGTCACGAGTAAGCAGCTGTGAAAACCTTACTGACCCTCCACGCAGCAATCTCGTACCTGGTAAATCTCTACGATGATGAGCAAATCATACGCCTTCAGATCGACTTTATGGCCAGGGCCTACTGTAGCTGCAATCGTTTTGATAACATCGTCTCTCAGGAACTCCTTGTTGTTGCGTATCGAAGGCCGTATAGCAAACTGGGATTACCCTACATTAGCGAGAAGCTTTGTGTAGAAAGGCTGCGTCATTCGACACCAATAGATTAGACTAACCTTTTTCCCCGCTTGATCCGGTCCATGGAAGTGAGGCGCCAAAACTTGTTTCGCGACACTCTCGAGACCCTGGTGAGTGGCTTTCTCGGTTGCAGTAATAGGTGTTAGTCGCTTCACGTAGCTCAAATTTCTCGGCTGGGCGCCATCAGCAATATCTTGGCAAATTTTGTGGACAAAAGACACAGGTTCCAATGGCGATCGAGTTCTGAAAAACACCACTTGTAAGGTCAGTACAGGTAAAGAGAACATGTCCTAATAGTCTTACAGCATTGAGTGTCAAGCTTGACTGATGTGAACAATGGCTTTGTAGTTGGATTGCGAATGTCGGCAAGCTCTTTACTGATCTGAGCCTCGATATCTCCCTCTTCAGAATCAGAATCGTCGCCTGCAGCTGTTTCACTACACTCAGTCGTCCCATACAATTTGGTAGCATACTGCCGCTGCCTGTCAGCCTCTCCGACACTACAATGTGCGGTTGCTGGTGCATGAAGCAATGGCTCACTTCTTGAAATAAATCTCGTAGATCAGCCACGGATTTGGCTTCCTTCTTCATGGAGCACGTGGCCCATATCCCAGCGTCTCCAGCTTGTATGGCGCGATTTGACATGTCTCTCCTAGGCATCTCCCAGTTTTTCTTACCCTAGAAACTAAAGTCAGGTTCTGTGGAACAAATTGCAGCTGCAGAGCGAAAATGACATTGTGAGGCCAAGGCTGCAAAAACAGGCATAGATGTCACCGTCTTACGACGAAAAAAAAGAAAAAAAAACACACCTTGACTCGTTTATTGCCTCCAGCTTGCCGCTCGCCGGAATCGGCTTTGCGTTTTCTCGTAGCACCGTGTGCTCCAACCATTGTGGGTAACTGTAGGTCAAGCAAAGGGGTGGAGGTGATTGGATGAACGATGCTTCAGAATGTTTGGTTGTAAGGGGAGAATCGAGAAAAAAAGACACTAGTCCAGTTGCGGCCACTAGCGCGGCTGCTCCCGCCTAGATGCTGCAGCCCACACTACTTACACCTCTCAGCCTCATTCAAGCTCACCGCAAAACCTTGGTAAACTTGCTTTGTTCCGTGGCGCACCCAGCTAGCTCTGAAACTTCGGCTATCGATGCCACGTGTCGGCGACGTTCAGCAGCTGGCGCTTCGTTAAGGCGTCGAGAACCTATCCCCGTGACGTACCTTTGCCGAGCGCCAGGAAACAGGTAGTAGAGCTTCCGGTGAACGACGGCGTCCGGGAATACGACACAATCTGCCAATAGAGTGCTAGGTCATCTTTCATCGGATCATGGGTGCAGCCAAATTTGAGGTCCCTAACCAAGTGGCTTTAAACAGTATGCTAAACGTGCCACAAATGTTGATTGCTCATGTTTACATCAGCATGTACGGGCGAGAATACTATGGTTACCGATCGAATATACTTGGAAAACAGAATGCTAGTCTTGGCTTTATGTAATATAGCAAGCCCAATGCATATCCGAAGCAGGGGATAGATAAATGGCTGAAAAAGCCAGCACTCAGATTGAATTCCAAAAACACGAATCATAGCACTCTCACATGAACAGTCTGGCAAGTAGGTTATATATAGGCGACCTTCGCCAAAAAAGGTAAAATTCTAATTAAGTTTCCCAATACCCGATATACCGAAAAGCCATTATTATGTAAGTAACTCGCGAGAGAAATCCCTCAAAAAAGGATCATGGGTATAACAAATGGGTATATGGAAAATCGACAACAAACAAAAGGAAAAGGACATAACCTTCGTCAAGTTCGTTATCGTGAGAATCGTAAAACCGTCATTACCGGGCCTCCAACGGCCAGATGGTGGAGAGAGGAGAGATAGAGAGAAGAAGAAAAAAAAAAGCAGCAATGGAGAGATGCGAGGCAAGATGCCAAAGGAGATTGAGAGAAGAGGTCCAAAAGCCAACCAAACGCCGATGAAAAAAAAAGCGAAAAGTAAAGTAGGAAAGCGGAAAATGTAAAACGAATAATGTAACAAGAAGAAGAAGAATAGTTGTTGTACAAGCAACCAATTGGAGGTAGCTCGATCAACAAGCTCTCAAAAGGTTGTTTTGTTTAGGCGTCGCCACGACGCATGAAGCCGAAGCGCTTCTTCCTCTTCTCGGTTTTGTCGGCACTGAGCAGTGGATTGGGGTAACCAGCGAGGGCAGCTTCGGCATTGAGGCGTTCTGCCTTTTCAAAATCAAAGGGGCTAGACCATTTTCGCTGGGGAATCTCTCCCATCTTTGTGCTGTCGGAAGCAAAGGTGTAGCAGGAGGGCGTGTTCTTTTCCATGCGGCGTCTAAAGTGGATAGTTGCCGGGGCGTGGTCAAGTAGTGGTGGAGGAGATAGGTACTCGGGCTTGGATGGAACAGGAGGTTTGGATGGCTCAGTGGGAGTGGGAGTGGGAGTGGGAGTGGCAGACCGGCGGGGCGCAGGAGAAAATGTTGGGAGTTTGGGGGTAGGTTCGTGGACATGTTTGGGCGTTGGGGCACGCTTTGGTGCTGCGACGGGCTTTGGCGTAGGGGATTTGGTGATGGTGCGGGGGAGATGCTCCTGAGGCCATGGCTCACGTGGATCTTGGAAGGAATCAACGCGTTGTTTGACACGGCTCGTCTTTGTTGGAGCACTGCCTAGGGTGCCCTTGAAGACGCCAGTGCTCTGAAGCTCAAGAGGATCGACAGGCACATACAGAGGCAATTGAGGTGCTGCTTGGGTCTTCTTCAACTCGGGCGAAGCCATTTGAAGTTTCTTTGGCTGGGGAGAGGACATGGGTGAAGTAGTGCGGGATGAGCTGGAAGTTGACTTGACCGCACTAGAGCTGTTGCTTGATGAAGTGGCCTTGCGACTTGCCTTTGGCCTCACGACGGCAAGGTGAGGGTGACTGGTGCGTCCTTGTCGGATGGGCATGCGGGTGACTACTGGGCCGAGGGAGCGTGTGCGGGTAGCCGAAGAGCTTGACCGCTTCTTCCTCTCCTTCTCGGGGCTGGCGCTGCGCGAGGAGCAGTCATGGTGTTTAGTAGTGCCACAGCGTAGACAAACGGCAGCAGCAATTCTGTGGAGCTGGGCGTGGGCCTGACTTAGTCGCAGGTAGAGTTGGGTTAGGCTGAGCAGAGCCTCACGGCGGGAGGCGTCGGAAAGGTGGGTCAGCGACTTGTAGTCTAGGTCTAGGTGGCTCTTTCCGTTTTTGTGCTCATGGTCGAGAAAGGACGCAATGATGGCCACAAGGCCAGTATTCAGTTTGATCAGCGTCTCTGCAAGGGCTGCGTGTGCAATGGCTGTCTGGCTGTTAGCATATCGTACAATGCCATTGTTGTTGTTGTTCTAGTAGTAGTAGTACTCACCATCGCCCTTTGCGAAACGCGCGCCGATACTGCTTTGGTAGCATTCAAGATACTTCTCCGCCACCTCGACGGGCCCTCTGCGTAAGCTCTTGGAGAGCTGGTGCTCGGCCGAGCTGGTCGCGTCGGACGTGTCGCTGTCTTTGCGCGAGGACTTGCGCTTTTTTCTCCTCTCGCGCAGCCGCTTGAAGATGTTGAATCCGTTTGTGAAGGCTTCTATGATAGCGGCGACGCAGCTTGATACCTCGGCCTCGTCGGGCCTAGGCGCAGCTCGCGTACCTACACTGTCTAACTTGATGGCCATGGGCAGAATGCAGACGGCCAAAACCAGCAAAGATGCGAATGCAATGCAGAGTGGAACTGAAGAGAAAGAGAGGGAAACGCACGATAGGTATACAATATTCCAGAGGAAAACAAAGTGCGGTCTAAGCATCCATTAGCGAGGGTGAATGAAGAGTCATCTGCAAGTCTGCAAGCCAGATCAGCCAGGTTAGCCCCAAGTTGTGTCGAGTCGAGTCAAGTCGCCGTCAACATGGCCGCCCAGCGACGGGGGCTCTTTGCTTTATCCCGCTGGCCGCCCGACCCTTGTGCTGCACCGACGCCTGGCTGCTTGTGGGTGTGCACCAGCTTGGGCGTTCCTGCGTCTGCTACTGGGCGACATTGACTGCCTGCGCACCGCCCGCGCCGCCGTTGTTCGAGCCGAGTGCTGCTGGTAGCCGCTGGGTGTGCTGGCTAGCTGCATCGGTCGGCTTTAGTGGGCCCTGGCCGCGGCGCCGACTCGAGACGTCGAGACCGCTCGTCCACACGTGCGTCGACGTGGGAACAGCAAAAAGTAAACATCAACACCTGCATGAAACAGCCGGCCGCTGTGTCGTGGCCCTGAGTGGGTTCCTGCCACCAAAACAAAGCGGCGGCGTGTGGGGTGCAGCAACCCTCGCCCTGTCCTCGCTGGCCTACCGCTGCCTCATTCTCGCGACAAAAAAGACAGAGACAGCGTCAAGACATGCGGTCGGCCTCGGTTGCCAAGAGAGATGAAGTGTCATTCGCAGGGGGGCCCTGTCGTGCTCTGTTGAGCAACAGGCACTCTCTCCCCTTCGCCAAACCCACTACCCTACACACCCAAACGCCTCGCTATGCAATACACAGTACACGTCCTTGATCGCCCTGCCTGCCTGTCCTCTGCCCCTCACTGCTCGCTGTCTTCGCCATCCTCCACAGTCACCCTCCTCCGCGTCGCCGCCTGGCCTTCTGAGTTGCTGGCTCCAACCGCAGAGCTCGACCCTTCGCCTTCCGTCCTCTCTCCCACGTTGCCGAAACTCCAGCTAGACTCAAGACTGCTAGGCTCCGCAGCCTTCGGTGAAGAGTGGGAAGCTTGCTGAGAAGTGCCCGTCCTCACCGCCGGCCCTCCTGCTTGACCCGGAGACGTCGCACTGCCAGCCAAAGACACATCTGCTCCGCACTCTGCTGCTGCCGGTGCTGACTGCCTCTGCTCTGCCACCGGAGGCCTCTCTTGGCTTGGCTGTTCGCTATGTGGTGATGCTGCTATTGTGCTCCCCTCGTGTCCGGGCCGTGGCGCTAGTGCCATCGGCCTCAGCGTCCACCCTTCCGGCAACGTCAGACCCTCTGGCACGCCTGCATCGCCCTGTCGCAGAACCGGTCCCCTGGCGAAATAGGCTTGTGGTACAAATGCGTTCATGTCGGGCCCGTTCAACGGCGCAATAGGTGGTAATTCTTGACCCGTTGCCCCCGTCACCCCAGATGCTAGCTGTAGTCGGTTCAGTTCGTCAAGAAGCCGGTGAATAACCTCAAGTTGCTCGTGTTGCGCGTTGAGATGTCGCATCGATTCAATAATGTTCTGTTGTATGCGTAAAATGTCCGATTGAATGTCCGACGGGTGCAGCGCAACACCTCCTGCTATCGGCCCAGTGGGGACATTCGCAGTGATACCTTGCCCAAACGTCGGTTGGGCCAAAGGCACATTTTGCTGACCTGAGTTCTGTTCCGTGTTGTTTGCTACAGCTGCCTGCTGTCGCATCTGCTGAATTGCATTTTGTACAGCAGCATTGTCATGTTGCCCTGGTGGCACCCGAATATTTCCGAGAGCTATCCTGAGTGGGCCCAAGTTGAACACGCGCATGTTGCCTGCAGGCCCGTTTGCTGGTCTACCATCCTGGCCTGCTGCTGGCTGACCCTGGCCTTGTTGCCCTCCAGCACCACCTTGGTGTCCTCCAAAGCCGCCTTGCCGCGCATTCCCCCCAAACATTGCCTGTAGTGCCTCGCGATTCGGCAGGTTCTGTTGTCCTTGTTGCCCCTGGTTGGCCTGGTTATTGCGTTGAGTGTTGGCAGCGGCTGTCGAAGTAAGGACGGGTCTGCGACATGTTGGACACACTTGCTGCCTCTCGAGCCAACTACGCAGACAGCTAAAGTGTAAGATGTGACCACATGGGAGTTTCTTTGGGCGTTGTCGCTCATCCATCCTGCGGCCCTGCTGCGCACCATCCGCACCAGGCTGATTCCACGGTCGCATTTCTTCGCGGCAAACAATGCATGTATTTTCTCGCTCGAGTTCTTCGGCTGTTGCATCGGGGTACCGTGTGTTCATGTCGCGAGTTGCATTTCGGTACTGGACGAAATCGTTAATTCTCTTAATCAGAGACCGAAGGGACATGAACAGGTCCCTCATGATGTGAATCGGGATGCCGTAGAATGTCATAAGAATGATGAAGAAGCCCATGTACACGACTGATTTGACAAAGTCTGTCGCTAGATCCAGGTAGAAGACCCAGCGGCCCTTTTCTTCCCACCCGGGCACATCACCCTCGTCTTCATCATCGTCAGCCTCGACGGGTGCTTCAGTTCCACCAGCTGCAGCTTGTTGACGTGCTAGCTCGCTGGCGATCCTGCGGGCTTCCTCGCGTGCCCTTTCCTGGCGCTGTATCATGAACAATTCGACGAGTGAGAGTGAGTATCGCAACAAGGTCGATATCGATGCGATAGCTAGAAGGACGTATTCGAAACCAAACATGACCATGACGCCAGGCCGGGCCTCTGAGAGGATTGAGTCGATACAGTACTGCATCATGAAGACATCGAACCCGACCGAGAGCAGCAGGGAGCTCATCAAACGAGCATGAAAGAGCCTTGGGTTCGCTGGCGGTTGCTGCTCCAGGAACTCGACTCGCCCCTCTCCAATCCACTGCCAAACCTTGCCCGCAAGCAAGCAGAGGAACATTGTGAAGAACCATATGCCGATATCGTCTCTGAAAATCGTCATAGCTAACAGTGTCTCACTGACAGCAAACCATGCCTTGTCGTACAGCTGCTCCGTTTCGATGGGCCGGAGAGGTCCGTAAAAGAGCCGCTGTAATCCATAGCCAACGCTCGCAGCCACAATGAGCATCAGGTTAACCAAGAACATCAAAGAGCCGGTGCTCTGAGAAATGTAGACGGCGGCCGAGTAAAAGTTTGGACGCTCATAGTACGCGCGCATGAGCACGATGTTGGCCATGACGGCCGAGCCCTGGGCGTGTGAGCATTGGGGTGTACTATCAGTGAGGGGGATGCGTTTTTACCGTGACGTAGAGCTTAAGTCGGCCCATCGTGCTGTATCGAGGCGATCGGAAAACTAGCAAAGAATGCGTGCCCCCATCTGAGAGTTGAGAAGTCCCATACACGAGGTGGTGATGGTGTCGCGTTGCGGCATTGCTTACATTGGTGAAGGAAACGTGGTCGGAGTGGGAACTCTCATGATTGGCCGCGTCGGCGATGACGTTGGTCCGCCGCTAGCCCGTAGCATTGGCGCTGCGACACCCACTTCTCTCGGCTATACAGCCTCTGGGCCTACGCATGAACATATGTCATGTGTAAATACCGCGCTGGGCACTGTTCGTGATACCATGTTCCTGCTACTCATGGATGTTCTCATGCATTATCTCACGCACCCATTCAGCATAGTCGTCGAATGTCATCCGGTACTGCACTAGACCAATAGCACACCGTTCGGGTATTCCATTGAAGCAACCCGTCCCTCCCCACGATCGTTCCTGTGCGGCGGCTGCACCTCCGCAAGCCATCTCCACAAAATGCGAGCATTTCCCTGCTTTTTTACTGGCACTGTTGCGCCATCTGGTCTGCGTCTGCATGATGGCCTGGATCTCGGGAGGTTACTCGGTCGCAAAGGACTCCACACTTTCCAAGGTCCGTTCTCGGTGATTTAAGCCCTACGCTACATTGTGGCTCGAAGAAAACTTTTCTTTGTTAGGAACTAAATCCAGGCACCACAAGGACAATCGGAGAGATACCCGGCTCTTGAGGTTCGTCGCAGTCTATTGTGCCGCTGCGATAAAGGAAAATACATGATGCTGTCACCAACCCGCGCGAACAAAGTTTGGGAATACGGCCGATTTCTACCACACGTGGAGAAACATGGGGCTTAAGCATGGCAACTATGCGGGGATCCTTCCAGACTAACGACTGCATCCTGGTCCCCATAGTATCTGCCCAACCAACACTATTGACTCGTAGCCCCAGAACGGGTGCGCACCAATACTCACTGAGCTACGAAGAGATGCCCGTGGATCTCACTAGCATGATCGTATACCAGGTCAGGCAAGTGGGAAATTTTAGTCCGTCAGGAACAAATATGTATATAAGGGTCTGAATTCCTGCTGTGAAGTTTCGGTATCGAACGGCTAGCCCATTATCCCGGTATGTTCCCATTTCCTCCAAAGCGCGATTTAAACTCCCCCTACATATTCTCTGTTCGAAGACCAGATACTATGAACAAAGCTATAAGACAGTGCTCTTATGTACGAAGCGACTAACTATCTACAGTGTCGACATCATTCATCTCCGAGCACGATGTTTCGCTCTTCCCCTCTTCTGAGCCTTGCACTCGGCACCCTGTCTGCTGTCGGTGCACAGGAATTGCCCGCTGTGCTAACTGCAGACATTATCCAGGGTTTGGGTAACAACACCCTCTTCACAAGATGGCGCCCGACCTACCATTTCAGTGGCCCCGCTGGATGGCTAAATGACCCATGCGGTATGATGTACGATCCTACGACAAAAACGTACCATTTGCATTACCAATGGCACCCCAACCACGTGAACTGGGGTAACATCTCTTGGGGCCATGCCACCTCCAAGGATATGATCACGTGGACTGATGTTGGAGGCTGGGAAAATGACCAAGCTCAGTCTCTCGGCACCGGACCCAACCCTGATTCCCGAAACTCGAGCTACTACGGTTTGGGCATCTTTTCCGGCACCGGCCAGCCGTACAATCTCAATGGTGAGCAGGACGGTACGCTGATCAATTTCTACACTTCGGTGCAGCAATTGCCTACCAACTGGGCTATACCTTATATTCCCGGAACTGAGAAGCAGAGCATTGCCATTTCCAAGGATGGTGGTGAGACTTGGGAGCAATATGCTGGAAACCCCATCCTGTCCCACCCACCAGAGGGCTGGAACATTACCGGATGGCGTGATCCCTTCGTCGAGGTATGATTTTGTCAATTGAACTATGCATATAACACTTGCTGACTTGCACCAGCCTTGGCCAGAAATGGATGCTCTCCTTGGACATGAGGAGCCACACTGGTACATGACCATGGGATCTGGCATCAAGGGAGAGAATGGCGGTGGTCGCATGCCCTTCTACAGCGCCCCTGCAAACAATCTGACTGACTGGACTTTCTTGGGTGCTCTCTGGGAGCCAAAGGGGAATGAGACTCTTGGTTCTCTGCTCGAGACTGGAACATACGGTTTCAACTTTGAGGTGTAAGTACTGACGAAGGAAATAGTGTGGACTCAAAGCTGATTGTGGCAGATCAAACTTTTTCTCTCTGAACGACGAGGATGATGATGTTCACTACTACGTACTCATGGGCACCGAGGGCGGAAATCTTACTTGGCACCCTCGTGCGCAATGGGGCCTCTGGAACGAGGGACAAGTCAACAAGCGTGAAAATGGCTCGGTCGAATTTACTCCAGTTGCCGGTGGTGCGATCGACTCCGGACTGCTTTACGCTGTAACCAGCTTCGTGGACTCGAAGAACGACCGACGCATCCAATGGGGCTGGGCCAATGAGGAGAACAACAACTTTGCCATCACTCAGACAGGGTACCAAGGCGCTATGGCCATTCCTCGGGAAATGTACGTCATCAAGACCAGCCACCTGGTCAACAACGGCTCGCAGTTGACTACCAAGGGCAACACTCGTGTTGTCGAGCATGGCAACGGTACTTTTACTGGATACACTCTTGGTGCCCGCCCTCTGCCCGAGATTATCGAAGCTCTCCACAATGGCTCGGAGCCTCAAGTCATTGACACTGGCAAGGATGCTTGCGCTAACGGAGACGTCTCCGGCAACGGCACCAGCCATATGCATCTCCAGGTTACCCTTTCTGACTTCACCGGCCCTGCTGGTGTCGTTATTGCGCAGTCGCCCAATCACGAGGAGCAGACCGTTGTGTGGTACAGCCCGGAAAACTACACCATCAACGTCGACCGCTCGCACTCGTCTACGATTGTCGAGTTTGCCAACTACACCATGCTCGGCTACTTCTACCCGTACACTTTTGCCAACGGCACCACCGAGTCTCTGCACATGGACATCTTTGTTGATGGCTCCCTGGTCGAGGTCCACGTGAACGATCGCTTCTGGCTCACAACCCGTATCTACCCTGCCCGCACTGACAGCACCGGATTCGGCATCTGGGCCGAGGAGGGCTCCACTGTCAAGGCCAAAGACCTCAAGGTCTGGGATATCGACTTCAACGTCTTCCCCGAGAGGCCAGAGAACTCGAGCAGCAAGCTCATCTATGATACTCCAGAGGAAACCAACAACTATGTTTGGTGGACTGGAAACTAAAAATCATGATATGCCTAACATGCAGAGATGAGAAAGGCGAATATTATTCGTAGCAAAAATACGATTAGAACCCAAGAAATAATGTAAATATAATATTCTCAAATCACATCTACATCTTGACAACGATTTTTCCCATGTTTAAGCCGCAGTAGGAACCCGTTTGGCCTCCTCTTTCCCACCATCTAATCCCGCACTCTCCTTCAACTTCCTCAGCCTCTCTTCTTCTTTCTTCTTCATCTCCTCCTGAATCCGCACTCTCTCCGGCACAACCATCTGTCTCGGGCCCGTAATCTTGAACCCTTCCAGCCGCTCCTTGCCCAACGCCTTCATCGTCTTCCTCTCCACAACACTATAGTTTCCATCAGGCCGATCAAACACAAACGGCTCTTTGACGCTAACAGGCGGATTCGTAATGACCCTCACATTCCGCAACTGATTATTCGACGCAGCGTGCAGCATCAGTGGATGCAATAGATACACATCGCCCACGACGCCCGTAGCTTCTACAAACGCATCGTCGGGCATGCTGGCAGCGAGATTGTTAAACCATGACAGCCCTTTTTCCTCGATGAAGTCTGGATTCTGCGCCCGAGGCGTCATGCGCGGACTCACGCCGTCTGGGTTCTCGTACAAATGCTTGGCCACGTGCGGGATGGCAGCGGGACAAATATACGTGCCTCCGCCCCCAGGCACGATGTCCGTCCACAGAGGGATAACGAGAAGAGCTTGTTCCGGGCTGTCGAGGTAATGGACGAAGAAGTCGCCGTCGACGTGCCATTGCGGCAGGTCCTGGGGGCGCACGACGGAGTTGTGGCCAGCAGGTGTGCCGAGATTGACGATGAAGCCGTCTTTCCAGGTGGAGGCGTTGGAATCGACGCGCGCGGAGCCGCCGAGGAGGCTGCAGATGCCGGCCCAGGCTTTGGGGGCGAAGGTGGAGGCGGGGAATTCGTGGAAGAAGGGCATGTTTGTGCGTTCCGTGTGCCTTGGGTTGGTTGTAGGGTTAGTTTGGAATGATATTTTGCAAAAAAAATAAAATAAAATACATGTGTATGTGTACCATGTCCGAATTGTAAATGAGAAGAGGAGACTGGGTGGACGGGTTTGCGTGAGATTAGCAAGCTCACCATGTTGACATGTCGTTTGGATCCATGCCTAGTCTTGTCCAAAGGGTTTCTTGTAGTTTATCGGCCTGCTCCCGTGTAAAGCAGTCGCTCAACTTGAGCCATCCATTTTCCATAAAAAAGTCGATTTGCTCTTGCGAAAGCTTGTACTGCTCTTCTACGTCCGCCATCTTTGTCCTTCACTTTGGCGTGGTTCTTTGTGAAATATGGTATTGTGGAATACTAAGTATAACAATCACGATATAGAAGCGTAATCCAACTTGCAAAGTAGAACGACGTTCAACAGTCTTATAGTTTACAAATCAAAGCGTCAAGGCGTAGCTATGCGTGAGTGGCAGCCAATGAGGGCAGGTTGTATAGGTCGATAACGGCAGTTCTGTCAATTTATCCGGTGGAAACTGATCTGGCGTCCATTGACCACGGCACACGTGCCGCTGAACAAAACGCCTGACGGACTACGTGTATTATGTGCGATTGCGGGGTGAACGGTTTGGGCAAGCCGGGCGGGGTTCCTCCGCGGCGAGTCTGACGACGAGTGATCTGGTCAATATGAAGATGAGCAAGCAACGTCATTGTATTGCGCTACGGCAGGGCGGAGTCTGACGACAAGTGATCTGGTCGGTATAAAGTAAGCAAGCAACGCCAGTGTATTGCGCTACGGCAGGGCGGATATTCTCCCATGTTCTCACATGACAAAGCGGATGGCTGTGGGGATGGGGGAAATGGGGGAGATGGGGAAGCGGAGAGGAGCAGTAGACGTCGCTATTTTTGGGGATTGGGGATTGGGGTGTGGCGTTCCCACAATGTTAAAAGTAACGCAACTTTTTTGGTTGCTGGCCCCGCTGGACAACGAAAAAGTCTATGCGCTTGTGAAACTGGTGATTAGTACTACAAGTGACATGCCTCTAGTAACGCCAGAGTTAAATCTGACAGGCGATGCTCGTGTAGCGTCAGAAAGCAGCGTGCTTCGTGACCACCCTCGTACCGGTGTTGTGGTTAGTTTGAAGGTTGAATTCCCACTGCATGGTTCGTTGCGTACTACTGCACCACCTGGCACCGCGAATTCTTTTTCGCACTGTGCAGACCTACACCGTCAACATGGGGACCCGAATGCACCTTCGTTTGAATAAGAAAACAAGGCCGAAAGGTGGAAAATCACCAAAGGCGGTGTCTGCGTATCCAATGGGTTCTGACAGACGCGTATCTGTGCAACGACTAGACAAGACCTTGGCGTAAGAATCGCAATAGGTTTGTTGTGAAAGATGATTTTTGAAGGCGCTAATTACCGGTGTCAATGGTATACGTTGCTCTTATCTGGAGAATAGGCTCTACGTGTCTTTTTACGGATTTAATTGCTTTTAATAGCTGTCAGCTCCTCTTGAGCACACCATCAGGCCTTCTAAGTTCTCGTAATGGTAGCCGGATGGATGCGGGCCGAGTATGGGGACAAGTACGAAGGATGGTACCCCGTTTGCCCATGTTGATTAGAAATGGTTAAGCGACCCGCAAATACGGTGAACGCCTGAGAACATCGTTTGATGGGACACCTGGCCTCTGGAAAAGCCGACACACGCCTTGGGTGAGGCTGGTAAATCTAGGACGGTTTTAGAGATTAATGATATGCATTCGAGGTGGGTAGCGCCGTAGGCTAGCCGCAACTGGATCGAGAAGGTGGAATGAATGGAAGGACGGGCGGGTAGGATAGAGAGAGGGACCCCGGTCAGAAGGCGAATAGTAGTATAGATAGATGGGATAGATAGGCTATGCAGCCGAGGGCAGCAAGGTACACGTGGTCTTACATTGGTGAAGGTCGCATCAGGGCCGCTGCAGGGTACGTGGGTCCTCTGCGCACTAGGCCCATTTGGTGCTCCACTTTGAACAGGCAAGGTGTTCACACTGTATGTTCCGCCACGACGGCCAGTGGAAATAAAAGGCCCACGCCTCACTGTTCCTCTTCTACTTCTACTCCATTCGCTGTGCAGAGGACATTCAAACCCAATTCCTCTTTTCACTTCACCGTTCTGTCACGTCACACCCCCACCACAGCATAATGAAGTACTCGACCATCTGCGCCGCCTTCTTTGCGGCTGTCGTTGCTGCTTCTGATGTCAAGCAGCTGAAGACAGACGACTTCAAGGGCTTCATTGAGGAGCACGACCTCGTCCTCGCAGAGTGTAAGTCCATTGCCACCCGGCCCCAGCTCCCCCGCTTCCCAATGGCGCAACTGACAATTGCCTCCCAGTCTTCGCCCCATGGTGCGGTCACTGCAAGGCGCTCGCCCCCGAGTACGAGACGGCGGCCACAACTCTCAAGGAGAAGGACATTGCCCTGGTCAAGGTCGACTGCACAGAGGAGCAGGATCTCTGCCAGGAGTATGGTGTTGAGGGCTACCCCACTCTCAAGGTCTTCCGCGGCCTCGAGAACGTGACGCCATACAGTGGCCAGCGCAAGGCTGACAGCTTGATCTCATACATGACCAAGCAGGCCCTCCCCGCTGTCTCCGAGGTTACAAAGAGCAACCTCGAGGAGTTCAAGACTGCCGACAAGGTTGTCCTCGTTGGCTACTTCGCCGCCGACGACAAGGCCTCCAACGAGACCTTTACCGCCGTCGCAAATGGCCTCCGCGACAACTACCTGTTCGGTGCCACCAACGACGCTGCTCTCGCCAAGGCTGAGGGCGTCAAGCAGCCTGGTCTCGTCCTCTACAAGTCGTTTGACGATGGCAAGGACGTCTTCACCGAGGCCTTCGAGGCCGACGCCATCCGCACATTCGCCAAGGTCGCCGCTACCCCTCTTATTGGCGAGGTTGGCCCTGAGACCTACTCCGACTACATGGCTTCTGGCATTCCCCTCGCATACATTTTTGCTGAGACTCCCGAGGAGCGTGAGCAATTCGCCAAGGAGCTGAAGCCCCTCGCCCTCAAGCACAAGGGCGCCATCAACTTCGCCACCATTGACGCCAAGGCGTTCGGCCAGCACGCTGGTAACCTCAACCTCAAGATTGGCACATGGCCCGCCTTTGCTATCCAGCGCACCGAGAAGAACGACAAGTTCCCCTTCGACCAGGAGGAGAAGATCACCGAGAAGAGCATTGGCAAGTTCGTCGACGACTTCCTCGCTGGCAAGATCGAGCCCAGCATCAAGTCTGAGCCCATTCCCGAGTCCAACGATGGCCCCGTCAAGGTTATTGTCGCCCACAACTACAAGGACCTCGTCATCGACAATGACAAGGACGTTCTTGTTGAGTTCTACGCTCCTTGGTGCGGTCACTGCAAGGCTCTTGCTCCCAAGTACGAGGAGCTCGGCCAGCTCTACGCCTCTGATGAGCTCTCCAAGCTCGTAACTATCGCCAAGGTTGACGCCACCGCCAACGACGTTCCCGATGAGATCCAAGGTTTCCCAACCATCAAGCTCTTCGCCGCTGGCAAGAAGGGCGAGCCCATTGACTACTCTGGCTCCCGCACTGTTGAGGATTTGGTTCAGTTCATCAAGGAGAACGGCTCACACAAGGCTGAGGCCACTGTTCCCGAGGCCGCTGCTGAAGGTATGTCTGATAAACTTACTCACGACGCTGTTGTCACTAGTGATAACGGTGCTAATTCTGCTACAGATGCTACAGAGTCCGCCAAGGAGGCTGCCGCCGATGCCACCGACGCTGTCAAGGACACTGCTGAGAAGGCTACCGATGCCGCCAAAGAGGCCGCTGCTGATGCCAAGGAGGCTGTCAAGGACAAGGCAGAGAAGGCCAAGGACAAGGCTGCGAGCGCTAAGGACGAGTTGTAGATGCTTTCTATGCATCCGATTCTTTGATTGTCAACGGCGCTTTTTGCATATACCAGTACCCCTTTCAGCATCTTGCCATGGCTCATATGCTGAGGTATGAGTATTAAAACTGTTATGATTATATGGACGGGTTGGGTAGCGATTAGCTAATGGAGTTCCGGTTTCACATTTGATTATATTACTGTCTTTGACTACGATTGTAATTGTGATTGAATGTGATGAGCTGTTCGTGTTGTTGACTACTTGCAGGTTAGAGAGCACTATTTTCAACTGTCATCGTGTGGCTACGGCAAGCGTGCATTAGACAAATGCCACCATGCATTTCGGGAGGATCGCGCCTTTAGCGTGCCGCGTCCCGAAATGCGATTTACGACGTCGTCATCCACATGTGTGAGGCGCCCAACTCCACCATTTGTGACACCACCATTCTGAGTGCGCTCTATATCGACGTCATGCTACCTGTGCATCATCTCTCGACGAGCTGCGTGCGATCCTCTCATTTCCGATATCCGCCATTACTTAATGTCGTGATCTCACCGTTACGTCCGTGTAAATAATCTACTTTCAGCATATACCAATACCATGTCTGTCCCTCGACTATTTCTTCGCTGTACCAACACACTTTTACCACGAATTCAAACTGCAGCTCGCACCCCAGCATCTGGCAGACCTACCTTGAGATACTTTTCGAATACACGAATATTCAGCATGCCCGAGCAACTCAAGGCCAGCGAGGTGAACTCTAAGACGGACCCATCCGTCGCAAAGCAATACGACGAAGAGACCCCGAAAGACCAGCAAATCAAAGACTTTTTCCAACTCGTCGACGGAAAGAAGATTTGCATGCTAAACACCTTCCGCGACGGCGTCGGTACGTCCTTCTTTTTTTTCCTTCCCTCTCTCACTCACCCTAAATCCAACATTAAACCAACTAAAAAAATATCAAAAGCAGGTCCTGTAGGACGCTCCATGGCGCTCGCCCGCCGCACAGGACCCGACCTCCTCTTCCTCGCCAACACGCACTCTCAAAAATTCTCCGATCTAGCACAAAACACCAAAGTCCAAGTCACCATCCAAGACACACGGTCTCAGGACTGGGCGTCCATCACCGGCACCGCGACCACCTGCTCCAACTCGGATCCGCGCATCAAAGAGGTCTGGAGCCGCGGTGCGTCGGCGTGGTTTGGCGACTTGGGCGATGGCGTGCATAATGGTGGACCTGAAGATCCGCGCATGGCGCTGATTGAGGTTAAGGCGGAGTATGTGGTTTATTATCTGGCCGAGACGGGGGCGTTGGGGTATGTCAAGGAGGTTGTGGTGGCAAATGTGGTCGGGGGCGTTGCGAAGACGGGGGTTTTGAGGGAGATTAAGGGGGCAGATGTTGAGAAGGCTAGGTCGATGTGAGTTTTGATGGGGGTGAATGTGGGGAGAATGGTATGAACTGAGTTGGACATAGATTTGCGGTGAAGCTTTGAGATGGGTTGTTTAGGGATTAGTGACCGCCACTTGATTAGTTGAATACGTTTCCTATGACTATGAAATCAGTAAGTAATTTAGTGTACGTGATGGAAACCCGCTTTATTATTTTCCTCAAAGAGAGGTTTCTGTAAGCCTTAGGGTGTAATTCCAGCCACCAACAGTGCCAGATACTTGTGCACGGTAGTCTTGTGCAACCACGATGAGCTATAGCATCAGCACTTTCTGCTGACACAGAACGATCTAGTCCATTTGGTCGCTGCAAATCCCGTAGCCATCTGATCAAAGTTGGATAGCAGCGTGGGGGTTTATAAGTCACCAAAAAAAATCAGCTTACCATCCTTCCTAACGTGGATAGAAATCCCACACCAATCTGACTGGCGGATCCTCCATGTCAGCAGAGCATTTCTCGAAAATGGATATAGTCTCTTTACCACCAACTACAAAGCATTGGCCTCTATGAAGTAATAGGGTTGTTATTTGTTGGTTACGACGGTAATGGCGGAAGGAGCCAAGTGTTGGTTCTGGCGATGAAAAACATCAGCAAAGAACGCGTAATGGGACAGAAATATCGAGTATAAAAAGGTCTACCTGCTCTCTCTCTCTCGGCAGATCAAGAAAACAAGCTGTCTCACATTCCAATACCGATTCACCAGCTACAATACCTCAAGCACCATTATACAATGCACTTCACCGCCGCCACCATTGCACTCTCGCTCCTCGCAGCCGCCACGGCTTCCCCTCTTTCACCCCGTCAAGGTGGCGCCTTCGTCGCTGTCGGCTTGAAGTACTCGGGCCCAGGATGCACCGATTCGACGCTGATTAACGCGGATCCTATTTTCGGCAACGGAAACGTGTGTCAGCCGCTTGACCGGTTTGATACTGGAGTACCGATTCGGAGCTATAGTACGTCGAGGGTTTCCGAGGGTTGTAGTGGTAAATTATCCTTTTCATTATTTTTTGAGGGCTTGGACATGGGAGTGTGGGGTGTCATGAGTGACTGGAGAAAAGAAGAAAGAGGGAAAAAAAGAGAGATATAGAGATGGATAGGAATGCAGATGCAGAAGCTGATGATGGTATACAGTGGCGATTTATCAGACTGCGGATTGTTCGGGGACGGCGTTCCTGGCTCCCGTGGGCGGTTGTGTGACGGGCGATGGGCCCTTTGTTAGTGCATTTGTGACTTGTGCTTAGAAGTTGGACTCAAGCTTTTTCAGGGGTTGTAGAAGGGTGGATACGTAGGGCTTCTTGAGGTGGAAAGTGTAGATTAGCTATCTTGAGCCTAGCAATGGGCATGTGGATAGTCGTTGGAGATGCGAATGGAAATGTGAAATTGTATTCATGAGAGAAGATTCATTTCCGCCACTAAACAGATTATATGTGCATCCTGAACAACAAGTCGTACGGGAATGAGTAAGTTCGAAATATGGTGATGGACATCAAAAGTGGGGTGCCATGCAGCGTCATTGTCATTGCCCCGCATTCGTCATGACCAGCATCACATTTGCAAAACGATGACCCCGTGTTTGTAATGTCAAAGGTGGCACAAATGGCCTCTCTGGCTATATATTGCGTGCTTGGCCACATCACACCTGATTCCCACTTTTCTTCGGAATCTGAAACATATACCGACATCAACACTACACGCAATTGAATCATGGGCAAAGATCACCCTGATGCGGACCTTCATCCAGAGGCTACAGGCCTGGCAGCAGCGACAGTCAAGGTAGGTTGATAACAAGTATCATCTCCACGTCATAGTCCTAATCTCACCCAGGCTCACTCGGCTGAATGTCCTCTGAAGCTCTACTCGGGCTGGTTTTGTCCCTTTGTTCAGCGTGTATGGATTGCGCTCGAAGAAAAAGGCATCCAATACCAATACATTGAAGTCAACCCGTATCACAAGCCACAATCTCTGCTTGATCTCAATCCTCGCGGCCTTGTTCCCACACTGCAATACCAGGGAAAGCCGCTGTATGAGAGCACTGTTCTTTGCGAGTTTCTCGAGGAAGCATTCCCACAGCACACTCCGCACTTGATGCCTACAGATCCCTATGAGCGTGCGAGAACAAGGATCTGGACAGATTATGTGGGTAGTCGCATCATTCCTGCCTACCACCGCTTCCTCCAGCACCAAGGCGATGGTCTTGAAGAAAAGCAAAAGGAATTCTTGAATCATGTCAAGGAGTTCACGCGGGAGATGGACAAAGAAGGGCCGTTCTTTTCGGGCAAAGAGTTCGGGCTCATTGACATTGTGATTGCGCCTTGGGCTAACAGGCTATGGGTCTTTGATCACTTCAAAGGGGGTTCGGGTATTCCTGACGAGGGCAAGGGCGGAGAGGATGAGGAGGTATGGAAGAGGTTCAGGAAGTGGCTCGCTGCTGTTGAGGCTAGGAAAAGTGTCAAGGAAACGTTGAGTGACAGGCAGCACTATTTGCCCATCTATCAGCGATATGCAGAGGACCGGGCCCAGAGTGAGGCTGCAAAAGCAATTCGGGCTGGCAGGGGCATTCCCTAGGTATCGAGAACACTGTCGTATGTGGATAGAAAGGAGTAATGGTGAACGCATGTCTATGGTGGTGCTAGGCACAGAGGAGTAGTAATTAGCCGTTGTGGATTGCATCGTGATGGAGAGCCGGTGCAGCATTCAGCTGGATGAGTGACGTCAAGCCGAGGGAAGCCGGGATGGTGTTTGGAAACGTTGGTGTTGCCCCAGCGACGATATTGACAATGGGGGATCCACAACAACGCCACAACCGGCTAAGCGTCAACCCATCCGCCTTTGAATCCACCCTCAACTCCCTTGGGCACGACGACAACCCTCTGCCTATGCGCCGGTGCTCTTTATATTCGAATTAATTCATACTGACACAGCAGCCGCCGACATGTACGGGTACACCGCAGGCACGCCATGCCCGGCGCCCCACGGGTCAACAAGCAGCTACTACCCCGGCTATGGAAGCCAATACGCGCCTAGCTACCTCGACGACGACAACACCACAGCAAATATCGAATATACGACCGAGCTAAAGGCAGCTACTCGCCAGGCGAAGCCCCGGCGACCCATGCGCAATGCCGCTAAGCCTGCGTTCAACCCATCGCTAGACATTTTCGAGGACGTCGCACAGGAGGAGGAACAGCAACAGCGCGCAGCTTTCGAAGTGAAAAGGAGGAGCCGCGCCAGTGTTGTCCCCGCAGCCACAAGGACAAAGAAGAGCACGATTCTCGCCCATCCAGCACAGAAGATGCCCAAGCCTATTGCGCCTGTCCCCGAACCACAACACGAGAAGCCCGCCCGACGACGCGTGTCGCACATGCCAAGTGAAAACTATGCAGCCGAAGTTAATGCCACTGTACAGCTGCAAGAAGACGTTTTGGACAAGAAGGAACTTAAGAAGCAGGGCCCCAAGAAAGAAGCGCGCAGGAGGACGATATACATACCAACCGACGAGACGTCCTTGTTTACAATCCACCCAGGACAGCCCACACATGCACCGCGCAACGCCCGGGAAGCATCTCCGGATCTTGGACTGGATCTTGTCACACTATCGGAAGAGGAGGGAAACAATCTCTTGCCGGCTTTGAAGAAGGAAAAGAAGGTCCCTCGCAAGTCACTCGCCGCACCACCAAAACGCGGCCCTCTCAGCACAACATCGCGATTGACACAGAGCGCATCTTTTTCGAGCGATATTGCAGGTTCAGGCGGTGGCAAGGAGAACATGCCACCGGGTATGGCTGTATATGAGAAGAAGGGCAGCGGAACGCATATTGAAATCAACTTCATTAAGCCAGAGGTGAAGAAGAATGTGGCAAAAGCCCCCAAGGTCCATTTCAGCGCAACCAAAGAGCCGGAGAGGGTATTGCAGACTAAGAAACGGACTGAGGGAACGCAAAAGCGGCCACGATCGAACGTGGGCCACGACGATGTCCCAGTAAAGGCACTTAAATCGCGAGCGGATGTCACTGCCTCCACTGCAAATAGCAGCGCGTCTTTGAGATCAACTATCAAAACTGAACGAGCAAAGCTGGCCAAAGCGAAGCGCGCACCGCTGTCTTCGTCCCCATTCCACACCGACAAGTCCCCACCCACAGCATTACGGCGACAGAAGACTGGGAGTGTAGCAAGCAGCATTACCATGCTTCACGAGGTTGGCAAGCAGCCACAGCCGCAGGAAAAGTACCCAGTATTACGCGAGGATCTTGTTCAACCAGAACTATACGAAGACAACTGGCTCACCTATCAAGAAGTTGCCATTACACAGCTTCTAAACTCGGTATTCGACTCGGCGAACAAGGACCCGAATGCTGAACAGACTCCGGAAGATTTGCGCAAGAAGATGCTTGCCATCTATCACGACCCTACTATGCCACCCCTACACAAGCGTCTGCAGGCTTCACTACAGTGTGGCGCGTTGAGTATACCCAAGGATCTTCTGGCTCAGACACTCAGATTGAAGGATGATGTTGGTCTGCGGAAGAAGTTCCTCAACTTGTGGACAAAGTCGTACGATCTGAATGCACTTCGGGCTGCAGCCGAGACAATTGTTGGCCGCCAAATCACCACACCATGCCGCTTGTCTACTGGTTCCACTTGCTCGGACGATGGGTCTCGCCAATATCGCGCTGAACGCCGGGCGATCGAGAGCTTCTTATCTGCATTTTTGATTAAGAATGAAGACGCGGTTCGCGTCAAATCCGGAGGCGGTAGCATTGCCAGCCTCACACGTGGTGATGACGATTTTGGATCACAGGGCTGGTCGTGGCGCCGTACCGCACTGCGAAGTCTGATGTTGATCCTTCTTCTCGACCAGGCAAAGACCACGAATGCCTTGTCGGGCTGCTTGTTCCAGACGACATCACCATACAAGACGTCTGTGGAGGTCCTCCACCAGCTGTCCAAGATGCTTCTCCCTTCGCATGGCGATATTACTCGGCCGCTCCACCACCTTAACTACAAGGTCGAGCATGCTCAATACCCGCTTCAGGAATACATGTATCAGATTGAGAACATCGCCATCGACCTTCGCGATGGCATCGTGCTCAACCGTCTGGTAGAGTTGCTGCTCTACCCAGCACAGCAGGAAGAAACTGTGACACTCAACCTGCCAACCGGCGAACTACTGACCAGCGATGTGTCACAGAAGGATGCCTGGATTCTATCCCAGCATCTCAAATACCCAGCTATTGGTCGTCCACAAAAGGTGTACAACGTGCAGATTGCCCTTGCAGCCTTGAGCAGTGTCCCAGGGATGCCCAGCGCAGCAGTCAGCGGTATCCGCGCCGAAGACATAGTCGACGGCCATCGCGAAAAGACTCTCTCCCTGCTTTGGTCACTTGTTGGAAAATGCGGGCTAGGAAGTCTCGTCGACTGGCCGCAGCTAGTCAAGGAGACTGAGCGCTTCCGCAACCAATGGTACCGAGCAAGAGACAACTTTGAAGGGCGAGTCCTCGATTCCGACAACGAAGAGCCAGAAACGACTGAGTTAGACGGAATGGCATACCACAAGCGCCTCCTGCTCTCCTGGTCTCGCTCCGTCGCCCGCCTCCACGGCATCCGCGTAACAAACCTAACAACGAGTTTCGCAGACCCAAAAGTACTCGAGGTCATCGTCGATACGTATCTGCCTTCTAACCTCACCAGCTCCACCCCAGATGGCGGAAAATTAGGTTTAGGCGCAAAGCTCAAAGCAGTCGGCTGCTCAGTTTCCTTCATCGCGCTCTTCACATCCCAAGATAAAACCGCCCGCTCAATCCCCAGCCGCGACTTCACCCTCCTAACCCTCTCTTTCCTCGCTTCCCGTCTCCTCCCCCTCGCACGCACCCACCGCGCCGCAACAACAATTCAAACTGCATTCCGCCGCTTCCTACTCCGCCGCCAGACCAGCGCACGCATAAAGGCTATGCAGATTGCACATGAATCGGCCGTCATTGCGCAGGCAAGACAGAAAATGGTGGATGCCGCAACGGTTATTCAGCGGCGCTGGAGGGGTATCCAGGAAGGGAGGCGCGCTCAGTTGGAAAACGATGTTTTGGCTTTCCAGGCGCTAGCCAGGGGCTGGGCGATTAGGAGGTGGGCTAGGCGTGTTACGGCGGGGAGAGTTGGTGGGAAGGAGAAGGTGAGGAGGGTCAGAGGTGGATGGTAGAGGTATTGGATGGAGAACGCGGGAAATGTGGGAGGATATGATGTTTAACGATGAGATGGTGTTGGTGTTTGGGTTTGTTTTCTCTTTCGGCTTTCTTGGACGGAATGGGGTGTTAGTGGTATTTCTGGGGGAATCTTCTTTTTGATTGGGTTTGGACTGGAGTTTTCTTTCTTACGACGACAGTTGTAATGTCCCCCCCCCCCCCCTTTTCACGTGTGTATATTTTCTACCACGCTCGTTTGATATCCACATACTGAGAATGATTTATTCAATTGTTTTTCTTTATGATTCTTGTGCTTGATCTGGTACTTGAGCGAAGGGGTGTATGGTAGCTAGTATAATTCATACGTATGTATATGATGCTTCAATAATGTGAATCATAGCATCTGCCAATCCTTGTCCAATTCGTTTTGGGGCGATGTAGGGCTCATGGTCGCATCAGTCCAATCGCCGTCGACGCTGTGTTCTTCTCCTTCTTCTTCATTCTCCTTCTTATCATCTTCCCCATGCTCGTCCTCCTTCCTCTCTTCTTCTTTGCCTTCATCTCGCCCACTTGGTTCTACAACCTCAGTCCCATGCTTCTCAGTCCCACATTTCTGTGGCGGTTCACTGACCATCTGGAGCGGAGGAGGCCGACGTGCCATAGCCATCATAGTTTCCGAGAATACATTAGGATCATCGTACTCGCTTGTCTCCCTGCTGCAGCAATCATCGAGGACTACTATGATTTTGACGTCTCTGCTGTGAAGGAGTTTGCTAAACTCGCTTGCTGCACTGCATAATTGCATCCCGTTTGGGCAGACAAGAAGGTAGAGCTTTTCAAATCCTGGAGCATGCTGTACAAGATACTCGGCGAGGTCTGTGTATACTCTTCGGGTAGCCTCGAGAGAAGAGTCTTCCTCGTAAGGCTGGATGAGCAGACATAGACACGAAATGTGTTTTCGAGCAGCAGGAGTCAAAGTTTCCAGCCACTTTTGCGTGGCGTATGCCTGATATCGTCCGCGGGGGCAGGGCCCTGTCAAGAACAGAAATCTATGGCCTTTGTACACGGATGGATCTGCATCAGGGCGGATTTGGTTGCGTCGGGCTTTTTCTTCCTCTGTGGCCGGGCGTAGCATGTTGATGGGTCCATGGGGGGCTTCCAAAACCCATAGATCTTCCTTCGCCGTCTTGAAGTGAACCTCAGGTTCTACGCACTTCAACCGAGCGTATATGTGACCTGGCTCGGTATCTTTTTGCGGAGAGAGGTCTGTTCTTTGGCAATGGCAGATGTCAATCTGTGTCAGTCCTGCAAATGTGGTGTTGCTGGGGTTTTGTAGATGCGGCCAGTCCAAGGCATAGTTGATTGTTGTAACACCTTCTGGCAGTATTGGTCTTTCCGCACACGGAAACATGGTTTCTTTGTATGTACTGAATGATCGGCCCCGCCCGGCGAGGTTGAGTACGGACTGCCCTGTACCGGCTCACTTGCTTGCTACGTCGTCAACTCGCCCAGCACGGGCCTGATGGTAGAGCATGATGCATACCGCTCTTTTTGGAAGACTGACAGGCCAGGGCCGTGGAGCGCAAAAGACAGAGGCGGATGGCGAGGCGATGGTGTGGTATTGATGTGTGGATGAGCTAAGGGCAGCGAACGTCATTGGCAGCAGGCCCATGCACAGTGTACCTACCTAGATAAGCGTCACGATGCATCGCGGCGGCATGCACCTCCGAATCGTCGCGTCATGTGTGGAAAGGTAACACGGTCCTATACTGTTGTCTAGATGCCCGCCCACCACCATCTTGATGGACGAGACTGGCAGCGCTGAGCCCCAGACGCCAACCTCTGAGGGACCCGGCTCGCCTACTACGCCCACGCAGAAGAGCAGCAATGCATCGGCCGCATCCGCCAGGGGGGATTCAGTAGAGTCGCACGACTTTGCCAACCCGACTCTGACCATAATACGAGGCTTTTCGCGCAAGAATTCGACTGCATCGCTGGCATCACAAGATGCACCCCCGCCTCCGCTGCCACCGCGACCGGCCATGGGGCTGCTGTCGCGACCCTCGACGTCGCACTCGATGGCGCCTTCAAGACCACAGCTCCTCTCCAAGGCCACCACCCAGCTGTCCATCGCCAACATGCAGGCCTTTGCTGCAGACCCCAAAGATGCTTCGCCGACGTCTACAGCGCCCAGGCCGCGCAACTTGGGGAGCATCAGCATGGCCACTCGCAATATCAACGATGCTGACGACGGCGCAAGCATACGCAGCTATGCGCCGACAATCGAGGCGGGAGGATACCAGGAGAGCATACTGGGCGAAGTCATGGGCCCAACAGAAAAGTCGGAGCAGGAAAAGTCGCTCTTGCGGTCTCTGGGGCAGAGGTTTGCTGACGCAGAGTCGCAAAGCATGTTCCCGCCAGATCCAGACTTTGAAGCCGCTTTCCGCCACGAGTTTGATGGCATTGACGGCTTGAACGCTGACGGTTCAAACGAAGGTGAGATTCATGCTATATGTCAAGAGGTGACATTTTCTGACCGAGTCAACAGAAGCGATTATGTTCCAGTGGCGCGCAAAACTCAAGCATTTCCTCATTCTCTCCAGCGCTGGCAAGCCTATCTACAGTCGCCATGGCGACGACCAATTGATCACAAACTACATTGGTGTTGTACAGACCATTATATCATTCTACCAGTCCACCCACGACACTCTCCGAGGCTTCACTGCCGGTGATGTACGCTTTGTTGTCATGACCAAGGGCCCGCTCAATCTGGTCGCCATTACGCGGTTGGCAGAGAGCGATGCTCAGCTTCGCTCACAGCTCGAGGCACTCTACATGCAGATTCTCTCGACCCTTACACTGCCCAGTATGGAGCGCATGTTTGCTGCTCGGGCAAACTATGACCTACGGCGCCCCTTGCAGGGAACAGAAACCCTTTTGTCTGCCCTAGCAGATGGTTTCACTCGAGGATCTCCTTCGACACTTCTGTCGGCCCTTGAGTGTCTAAAACTGCGCAAGTCTCACCGCACTGCCATCAACAACACGTTGCTCAAAACGCGCTCGGAGAACTTGCTCTATGGCCTGATTGTAGCATCTGGTAAGCTCGTGTCGGTCGTACGACCCAAAAAGCATAGTCTGCACCCAGGTGATCTTCATCTCATCTTCAACATGTTGTTTGAAGCCGGCAGCGTCAAGGCTGGCGGGGGTGAAAATTGGATTCCGCTCTGCTTGCCTGGCTTCAACAACACGGGCTATCTGTACATGTATGTCAGCTTCCTGAATCTAGACGACCCGACGGAGCATATGCAGGAGCGACCTCGCACGAGCGACGGCGCGGACGATGAAGTCGCGGTCCTATTGATTAGCGCGGACAAGGAGAGCTTCTTCGAGCTCCGACGCATGAGGGATGATTTAATCGAGGTAAGTGTTGATGAACCTTCTTGCCCTATTGCTTTGTCCGGTTTTTTTTTCGCATGCAAATGTGTTTGCAAAATCCCCTTATTTTCTGATTTCCAGATGGGCAGGGGCTCCGGACCAGGGAGGGGTCTTGTCGAGACGCGTGGATTGCTGGTCAAGTGCCCGCCCGTTTTCCATGGATTGCGAACTATCTGGTCGAATGATGTGGAGCGGGGAAATTGCCGTAACCTGTCATCATGGATTGTCCATGGATGACTGTCCCGTGTGAGGCAAAACGGCTGCATAGGCACAAAAAAGAGGACGGCACGACGGGACTTCAGATAGCGCACTTTTTCGGCTTCGGAGACTGTGTTCCCCGACACGGCCTCTCGTCAAGACGCCGACTTGAGCTCTCCGGGGTGGTGATTGCATTTTGGATTTGACCACATTGCTCACCTCCCTTTTCCGTTGATCGGCCCTGCCCAGAGAAGTTACCATATCGTTGGTAATCCCGCATGGACACCCTCATCTGCCTGCATATACCTCCCTCTTTTTTTAATCTATATCGACATGATAAAAGGGAAGGAGATAATAGAAGTATACGCGCTAACGGGTGGTTCCGCAGAACTTGCAGCGCATCGGGGCTATCGACGCGATACGCAGCGCGGTCCACCAAGGCCGGCCCACATGCACTGACATTGTCCCCGGCAGCCCACTAAGACACTTTCTGTACAAGTCGAGGGGAAACGTCCAATTTACCATGCCAAGCTATGCTCCATACTTTGCTGCAGATTTGGAGAAACGACGGTAAGTTAAGCTGCATTTCCTACTCCCAAAAGCTACATTGATCACCGCCTCTTTCTTGTTGCTTAGCAATCTTTCGATTGTTAGCCTCGCGTTTTGCTTGGCAACCAAAGTGCATGTGGTCGTTGAGATCGCGGGGCTGACTCTACCTTGACCCATGCAAATCTCTCTTTTCCTTCTTCAGCATCAGACTTCACTGCATCTTGAATTTTTTTTGCTGATCAGAGCGGGGTGTGCATGTGTGTGTATGTGTACTAATGATATTACAGGCTAATCAATCTCTACAACAAACTCCACAGTAATGTCCATGGTAAACCCTCGACGCTAAAAGTGCACCATGAAACTAACACAACGTGTATGGCGCTCGCTTGGAGCACACCGCTGTTTGAGCTATACGCTGTTGCGCCTGCGAATACGTCGAGGGCCGCGCTGGCGCAGAGCGCGAATAAGATTATCCAATGGGTACGGAAAGAGGAGGAGAGAGTGTTTATTATTGGCGGTGCGGTCTTTTAGACTGGACTGCTGTTGTCGTTGCATGAATATGGCGAGTATGTAGTCGTGTCAAGTTTTTGTGGACAATGTACACATGGAGTATGTACAGCCGCAGCAGCAAACTAAATATGCAACATGCACGATATGAACTAATTTGAGTTGGGATTTGCTTGTAGTGGTCTATACACAAGTAAAGGACTAGGCTGCGGGCTATGGTCGGGGGGGGGGAGGGAAGAAAATAAATTGTTCTACGTGAACATGCATGCATGGACACGGGCACTTGTAAATCAATCTAGACACTGCCCTTTGGTAAAGCACCTGCAGCCTTCATCTGCTCAAACACATCCTTCAGGCTACCCCATGTGTCTCTGTACCCCGTCCAGCCGTACTCGCGCGCCTTGCTCATACTAATCACGAGATCAAAGTTCCTGCCAAGCACAAAGCCCAGGAAAGCCCACGTTGCCTTGTCAAAAGCGTCCTTGTCCAAGCCCTCACGGTCTGCAAGTGCATTCCACGCTTGCTTGACATCGTCGCGCTTAGACCACTTGACAAGATCAATGTGCTGCTCTACGTGGCTGGGCTCCAGCACCGGCGTGCCCTGCAAACCTCTCTCATCCGCAACTTCAGAAATAGGCGGTTGAGGGGCCATCTCCCTCGTCGAAGACTGACTCTCTGACCCTACAACCATGTCTTTGATTCTACCGCTTATACCCGCTGCGCCGCTACCGCCGTACACACTCTTGAACTGGTCTGGCTTGACGGTAGTACCAAAGTACTGTGCAACTTTTGGCCATAGATTCTGATAGCTCTCAACATCGCCGTTCGTTATGTTGAAGGCTTGATTTGCGGTACGCGGGTCCAGTGCTGCCCATGCGCAGAACTCGGCGTGTAGTTTTGCGCTGGTGAAGCTGTTGAATTTCGTGTAGAAGGCGGGGGAGCCGGGGAACTCGACGCCACTGTTGCCAGACATTTCCTTGGACACGAGTGTGTAGAGAGCCAGGGCTGCAGAGAGGTTCATAAAGTTTCCTGATGCGAAGCCGATGACGTCGTTGGGGTACGTTACTACCCATTCTTTGTTGTGCTTGGTGCAAAATTCGTGCAGGATGTTTTGCTGGTTATAATAGAAGTTTGGCGGCCATTTGGATGAGGTGAGCCAGGGGGCGTCTTCTTGCATGGGCTGTTGGGGCACGCCGAGGTGGACGCCGTATTGTTTTGCGCCACAGACGAGGATGATTCGCTTGACTTGCGATATGGCGCCTGTTTTCTCTAGGGCGCAGAGGAAGTTGGAGAGCATTCGGCCATTGACCTCCCATGCATCTTCTTCTTTGTCCTGGGCGAGGTAAGCGGCGAAGAATATATATTCTCCGCGCACGTTCTTGAGGTCATTGGCCATGGTGTCTGGGTCAGATTGGAGGTCAATGTGGCTGTGGATTACGGTATCGGGGTAGTCTTCTTTCTTGCTCCGCGAAAGTGCGTGTACGGTGGGCCATTGTGCGCGGTGTTGACCGAGTTCGAAGACGATCTCGCGACCGAGGATGCCTGTGGTATGTTAGTACATGCTGGTCATACTCTGACCAAGACGTACCGGTGGCGCCGGTGACTATCGCTGAAGGCATTGTATCGTTTAGGCGGTGGGTTTGTGTGTATTGCAAACTTGAAAGCGCAGTGATATTAAAGCAAAAAAAGATGTCAAGATATCCATGACGTAACGATGCTTTCAGATACAGGTATGTCACGGCTCCACAATCACGTAATCAAGTCACTACTTGGATAGATGTGTGTGGATATAGTAGGAGAAAAACACTCAGCACTGCTCTATTTAAATGTTTGCGCTAATCACAGTATGCATTGCATATATAGTAATGAGACATGGACCTCAGCTGCAATCAATACCTGGCATAGTTGATACATGTAAACGGCCAAGGCCAAAAAGCGTATTTGGACGTCATACCATGGACGGTGCCTGTGCGAACCGGGTATTTTCATGCTTAGGTGCCAGACTACAATACTTCTAACTCCAGTACAATCGGCATCTGTCTTCACCGGTCCAAAAATAACGTAATGCTCTTGTTTTCCTATGTGAGCAGGATAAGAAGCGAATCGAGTTTTTTTGTAGCAAAGGTCTAGGGATCAACACTATGTCTTTCCACGTTGCTAGATCATTGATGGCGACATCTTGCGACCCCGCTCTTCGAAGTGCTTTACTAGACCGGATGGCATGAGAGGCATTGATGTCTCTGCATATACCAGCATTTGGTTGGTTGGCTGCAGATTGTCTGACAGATTGCCGGTCGGTTAGCAGCGTGGCTTAGCCTGACAGCTGTCACATGTCTGACAAACTAGAGGGGGTGGCGGAAAGCGACCGGAATTCGGAACAGTCTTCACTTGGGCGGGCGTTTCTGCCAAGTGAGCTCACGAAACTGATTCTTTACTTCGTCTTTGAAATGGTCAAAGGACGAGGGGCCCGTCCCTGAAGCGCAGTCAGTGGGTGGCTTTCTTGTGCTGACGAGGGCGGCATACTGCCGCCGCCATTCTTTTGCTCAAAGTCTGGCAGCCTGTTGATCTTGCGATATGCCTTTTGCACGGCTCGGTTGAAGGTGGGCGATCGAATCAGCTGTGACAAGTCAGTCATCCGGACAGTTTGGGGTCAAAGGGGACATGGACGCACACGTGCGACCGCCCAGGCCTGCACCAAGGGGTTAGTTTGATCTCTTGGGCTCCTTTGCGGCTCTGCACGTACCTCGAAGAGAGCAAACCAGGGGCCCATGGGCGAGTCAGCAGTGCATTCACAGTTTGATGACTGGCGATGCGATACGATGGTAGGGCTGCGCAGATGATGGGGTTGGGATGAAAGGAGGGATGGCGGCGGTGGGTGGGCGAGGAGTAGGAAGATTGGGTGGGGGGCAACTCGGGGTGTTGGTCGAGGAATAGCGGGCAGCCATGTGCGTACTTAGTACATCCAACGCGACCAGCGACCGCGCCTGGCGTGTTTGCAGGGGGGAAGGAGGGGCCCTCAGGCGGGAGCCTGCTTTTTCTTGTTGCTGCGTTGTCATTCCATCTCCCAGTCCGACTATCTTGGCCTTGCGCGTTCGCATTCATATTGTCTATTCCCCCCTCGACGGCGGGACATTTGCCATTAATACACAGCCGTTTCCCATTTGCCCATCTGCCTGCCCGCCCATCTGCCTGCCCGCCCGCCCTTCTCGAAGGCCACGCGACAACGCTACGGCCTGCCTGCGATCCGCCAGCTGCTCCCCGACTGCTCGGCCGCCTGCAGCCCCTCCATTGTCCGGAGGGTCGCTGAAGCCGGTCTTTGGGAGACGGGCTGCCTCTTGCTCTGGCCTGGTCCATGGTAGGCTCGCTGACGCGGCACTGCCACTGAGAGTGTGACTGCGACTGCCATCAAGGACCACGAGGACGAGAAAAGACACAGACAAGAGACGCGCAGACGGGGACTGCGACAGAGCAGCGCAGCAAATGCATCGTGGCGAAGCCTCGTTTTGCCCGCTGCCTCCACTTGCAACATCGCATCCCCCCTATCGCTAATTTCGAGACACGGCAAAGCGCCCTGAGGCCCATTGTCCCGGCCTTTGACGCGCCACAGCCGGCACCCGCCCGCTGTTCCGCCACTTGGTGTACACACATACATAGTACTCTGCTCTCCCCCCCGCCAACCGCCTCCAACCCGCCCGCATACACGGACGCGGATCTCTTCAAGCTGCATAAACTTCGCGCCCTCCGGCGCAAGGCAAAGCTCAAGGGCGTCCTCATCAGGACCGACCCAGCCATGGCCAGCCCCGACGACCCCGTCTCGCCCACGGCCTCGTCCAAGCGCTCGCGCAGCAAAGACAGTCTCCGCTCCCTCACCACCTCGTCGCTCACCACGCCCGCTGCCAGTACCCCCGCCGCCAGCACCCACAGCATCGCCAACCCCCTCTCTGCCCCAGGCACGCCTACGCTAGCCGAAAATGCGGGCATCCCATATCCCGCTTTCCTCGGCTCTGCTAGAGACGTCAATGCCAAGTGGAACCGCCTCGAAACCGCCCAGAACGACCGCCTTCGCGATACCTCACATCCGCCCGATTCAGAGGAGCCGCCCAGATGGGCACGCTGTGGCGGCGAGGAGTACGCCTTCCGCAACCGCTACGCCAACGTCGACCCATACCAGTCCAACAGAGTCCATCTCGCCGTCCCCGAGGGCCACTTTGACTACATCAACGCCTCGCCCATAGACCTTGTGACGACCAAGTCCCAAACGCCCCTCAAGTACATCGCAACACAGGGACCCAAGGCCGAGACATGGTCGCACATTTGGCGCATGATCTGGAAAGAGAATGATTCGCCTGCGGTCATCGTCATGCTTACCCAGACGTTTGAGGCCTACCGGGAAAAGTGCTACCCTTACTACCCCCAGTCACTCACGAACCCTGACCTGCGTGTCAACGAGCATGACGAATTCCAAGACGGTCTCATCCACAATCTTCACCTGGCCTCATACACCATTGATGATGAGGCGCGCACTCAAGTCCGGGAGATTGACATGACGACTGATGATGAATCCGAGTCGAAGAAGGTCTGGCATCTGCTCTTTGCCGGATGGCCAGACTTCTCCGTGCCAGAAGGAGACGACCGCTCCGCTATGCTGAAATTAGTCGAGATTTCCCGTCTGAAGAACTCTGATAATGCTACCAACCCGCGGATTGTGCATTGTAGTGCAGGCATTGGTCGCAGCGGAACTTTTATCGCCCTCGACTGGCTAACGCAGGAGCTCCAAGAAGGTTCACTAGACGACGTACCCGAGACCGAGGACCCTGTTGTCAAGATAGTCGAGATGCTCAGGGACCAGCGCGCCGGTATGGTGCAGTCCAAGGTGCAATTTCAGTTCATCTACGATGTCCTTCGCGAACAATGGCGAGAGAGGTGGATTACCCAGAACCCTGCTCAGGCAAGCCAATTAGGCCTTGTTGGTACCGGCAACACGCCCGATGGTGAGCCCGCACTGAAGCGCCAAAAGTCGGTGCACTATGGCGAAGACGAACAGACCCCACCATCCGCATCTTCGCCTTTGAGCAGTAGTGGTGCATCCGACTCGCCGGATGCTCGCGCCCAACTCGAAGCTGAGCTCCAGGACGCAGACATGGAGTATGAAAAGGGCAAGACCTAGTCGATTTTGCAGCTTTTGAGGGAATCACGCCTTGGGCGTGAGAACAATGCAAAGAAGACGGTGTCGTGGTCCCTGCTCCCTCCTAGAGTGTACACATACACAACCTTCAACGGCGGTAGTGCGCCGCCTCTTGTTGTTGCCCCTGCTCATCTACCTCCAATTACCACTACTCGAAGCCCTGTGCTTGAGCAAGTAGAGGCACAGGACCAAGTTGAGGAGCAACAAGACGGGGGAGCAGACGTCGAAGCACAGAGGGATTCCCCTCCTCCCTTTCCTTCTCTCGCTCTTCAAAGTCAATTGTCTTCCCTGGTACGCTCGTCCGCTTCACCTTCCCCTTACGATACAATACGTTTTTCAGGCCATGTTGTCCTACACGCGGTTTTTGCTTGTGTTTGCATCGTTGGTTTCATGTTCGTTTATTGGAACGAGCCTGATAGACTTTAATGCTTTCTTTTTTTTTGTTTTCTCAGTCTCTGTTTTTGCTTTGAAGATGCATAGCCTTGCGGATAGATACCCCTTGGGATGGGTTTGGGTGTCTTTGGGTAGTTAGTAGAGCGACAGGCATGGGAAAGAACCGAAGCAAACAAAGACCAGGCGGCGCTAATTGTGTGTATTTGATAACTCTAGACTTTGCTAGTTCGTTCTTTCCTCTCGTACCCTTGTCCCTGTTCTCTTTTTGCGTTGATCACAGTCCGTCCATGGTGCTTGTCTTGGGGTTCTATATTTCAAACCTTAATCATACATAACAAAGGTAAGACGCGTCACAAACACGTATCCCCTGCGTTCCCCTCGTTTGATTGCGCGTTTTTTGTTACAGCAAGGCAGCAAGTACGGCGTAATAATAGTTAGCCTGTCGCGACCATATGCACCTTGGAAACTTTCGTGTCGGTATTATTACCGGTTTGTATTTCCCCCTTGCCCTGGTCTCCGCTGATGCATCGGGGGTTCGTTCATTAGCGGTTGTCGTCTGGCAGATCGAGAGCATATCGGACTCGCTTCAGGGATTCCGTCGATCCGCAATCCAGGGTGACTTCCCGTCGTTTGTGATTTGCTCACCTTTGGACTTGCTTACTTACCCCCCCAGTTCAAGTCTTGCCCTTTATTTTTCGTGTCCCCAAACTTGGGTAGCTTACTTACCTACCTACAGGGTGTCGATAAGGACGGACCAAAACGGAGGAACGGAGAGTCGCTCACCCTCCGGTCCATCAACGAGTGAACGAGACTAATGAAGACAAAGATGGAGTACACTTTCACCTACCCCAGATTCTAAACCCCATTTAGTTCAACTTTTTTGTTTTGGCAAACTATTCCGTTATCCAACCAACATATACATAGTATACACACACTTACGCCCCCTCTCTCTCTATCTCTCTGCTTTATCGCCTTTCTCCTTGCAAGCTCAGGCCAGTTATTCCCCGTGCAAACATACTTACTCATGTACACATTGACCATGCCCGTCCCTAAATTTATATTACCATTACCCCCCCATCAACACCCGTAATCCCTCCCATGCCCCTCGTAATTTTTCCCCCAAACCACAACCCTCCACCCTCTGAACCGAGTCAAACCCCCGAAAAAACAAAAGTCATTTCCCAAAAAGAAACCCCTCACATACAACGTAGGCCTAGTTGAAAAAAAAAAACGAGGCCCATGACTTGTGTGTGTTCTCCCAGCCGGCGTTATATTACCGATACCACACACCCACACCTGCTTCCCCCCCCCTAACCCCGTCTCATGGATTATTAAAACGAAAACGAGTGTTACAGCCGGGGGTAGAGGCTGGGACAGGGGGGGGGGGGCGTTACTTAAAAAATGATACCGGTGTTAGACCGCGATTAGTCCGGTAAAAACGCGCGCGCGCGCGCGAAAGAGAGAGAGAGAGAGCTGGTATGTGCGTTGCTTCTTCAAGCAAAGGACAGTGCCTTCCGCCTCGCCTCAGGCCAAAAAAAGGGCGGTTACTTATTGCTGACAACGGAGAGAGAGAGGGGGGGAAACGCGTAGCGTGTGCATGACTCGGGGGGCATGGGTGCAGGGCCGTTTTGAGAATGTGGGAGGGGGATGTGGGTGGTTGGTATGCGGAAAGTGATAAAGGGAATGGGAGAGGGGGCGGCGGCGGCTTGTGCGCTTGAGATGGAGGGTGAGTAAGGAGGGAAGGGGATAGGTGGTAGTGTGTATTTTATTTTTTTTCCTCATTTTACTGAACTTTGGGTGCATGTGTGTGCGTGTGTATACGGTGTATACGGTGTATACGGACGGGGTTTATCGGTATTTATTTTTTTTCTTTCAAGGGAGAGAAAGGGAAAAGGTGAGGGGGGGCATGTGTGTGCAGGGTTTCCCAAACCCAACTAAAACCTCTTAGATGTGAAGTTGCGCAAGTAAGGGTTCGTATTCATGGTACACGTTTGTTGTTTGTTGGCTGCCCTTTTTTGTTGGGAAAATGACGGTTTTCGGCAGTTCAACTATTCTAACTTGCGTAGATTTTTTTGTCCGTTGCGTGAGGAGGAGGGGGGGAAAAAGACGCAAGGCGAATGGATAGCGAAACGGTGTGTTTTACATTACGCAGTGTGCACATGTGTGGAGTGCGCTGCGCGTTCGTACTTACAGATGTGGTGTGATGTCTACATACCGTCCTGTGTTACGAATGTGCTGACCACGAGGTGTGTAAGGCGCCGAGGTTAAAGGGCAGGGTAGGGGTCTGTTCTTGCATCCGAGAGACTAAAGGAGCGGTGGAGGTGCGAGATCATGTTTAGAGAGCTGTGTGAAGAGATGGTCTACCTAGTTACTAGTAGTTACTAGCTGCAGGCAGGTTCCGTTAGACCGGGTGCTAGTAGTGGTGCATGTGTTTTGGTGCGGAAGGGGGGAGGGGTATGTTCGTATGAGGTTTTTCTACATACGTAATGCTTACTATTTCGTTTTCCCCCCGCAAATTGTGAACGGTATTGACGAGGTGGAGAGGGTTTGGGGGGATGGCGGGAGTTCAGCCTTGTTGTTCCTCTCCGCAATCCGTTGTTTTCGTGCGTACACTACTTACTCCAAGTTCTCGGCGCCATGGGGTGGAAATCGAGATGCTGGATTCTTTTCGTACGGCATACAAAACATTTTCTTTACAAGTACAGTACTTCTCTCATTTCTCTCATTCCTTTCGTCGAATACAATTTAAACACTTGTCACACAGTCATTCATCAACTAACCATTTCATCATCTCCCAGTCAACCCTCTCGCACCCCAACCACACTCCTCCCCTCCCCTCCTCGCTAATCTCTGAACCGGGGCCAGAGAGGCACAACCAGGGCCTTCTCTCTTAGATCCCTCTGGATGCTCGTGCGTGCGTTGCGATCCGAGACTGGGATCTGGGGGGGGGGGGGAGGCGGGGGAGATGAGGCGTGAAAATGGCAATGTCAGCTTACACATGCGTACATATCGTATTGTTCCCTTTGATATAGGGTATGTATTCTTTTCGGTCTTGGTCATCACGGCTCTTTGTACATCCGTTGCGGGGCGGTGCGTTGCAGGGCTGACAAGGACGTTTTATTGTGTTATTTTTTTGGGGGAAAACAAGAAGGTTGGTTGATTGAGAGTTTGGGGGAGAAGGAGGTCACGATAGTTTGGTAAGTTTGGGTATAAGGGATGCTTACAAAGGCTCTTGGTTCTTTCCCTTTTGATTTGGACATGGTTGTTTGTATTTCTGGGTATCCAATCGTCCCGCACTACGTACATGGAGTTTTCTTGCAAATTCGATCTTTATGCTGCTTACCTGGCTTCAATTTCCCCATTATGCAAATCACAAGGTTATGGATATTGTGCCAGACGCGAAATAAGGCTGATCTACCCCCGATTAACCGATTTCGATCCATGTAGATTGTAAAGTGATGAGCATGTCTGTGTTGTCTAGTCTAGCTGCGACGCTGCAAATTTGGCCCTGTATCGACGATCTTACTGCATATGCCCGAGACGGCAAATGCCTCGAGCGTGTACACGACATCATCTTTTCGGACCACTCCCCTTTTCTTTACCTTGTTTGCCTCCCAAGTTCGAAATACGCCTGACATGCCACGAGCCAAGTCATGGGCTTACAAAGCTGTGTACACAGATAGACTCCCACAAGTCACATGACATGTCATAGACTGAGGCAAGTACACACAAAGTACGCATGAACGCAAATCAATAACTACTTTTCACTCTTTTGTTTACTATTCGCTTCATCTAACAAGACGTGATTCGGCGCAATTTTACCCGAGGATTTGGCATTCGGGAATGCGATACAATCAGAACTTTGGCATTATTTTAAGTAGAAGTGCGAAGAAAAGTCCGAGTTACAGATAGCATGTCAGCAGATAGATAGTGGTATGGGGTGATTCGGATAATTCCGCCTCGCGTGACTGAGGTAGAAAAGCATGAATGGTGCGAGCGAGGCTTGGACTAAAGAAAAAAAGGTTCTGGTATAGTGGTCGTATATCCGAGTGCTGCAATCGGGCCTGAATTTCGGCAATAAGAGAGACGAGAGGGATTTCGCGAAATGCCTTACTAAGCCATATTATTCCCGCAAAATGCAAAAGCTCTGTGCTACACACAAGGCATGTGAGTGTAAGAAAGACGACTTGTGACACCAACTATGGTGAAAGCAGCGCATCACAACAGGCCCACATCCGACGTAATACTATTTTCCCATTGCTGTACTGAAGAGTTAACACGTTGACGGGCCGATTATCAGGGTCCGAGCACGTGGATCTAGTAGAGCAGACTAGAAACGTCAGTGGGTCTCAAATCGAGCAGCACGGCAGTTGAGTAATTGGCAGTGTTAATTTCCTGGTGCAATGCAGCCGACATCATTGACCTGCGTCTGAGCGAGGTTCCTGGTACGCAAAAACGTCTTTGCATTGTCAGACCAGTGTCATTGCCACGGGCGTTTGTTTCAAGGGTCGCGGGTTTGTGATTTGGCGCGGCTAAGTAATCCGGTGTGAGCTGCGAGTTGATGATCGCCGCTGGGTGTTCTAAAGACGATGAACATGGGCCTTGCCCAATAGAGTAAGTACAGCCTTGCAATGATGCCCCAAAGCTACAAAACGGGCCTCGCGATCGAGGCCATTTTGGACGAGTATTGAGCGCACGCTGACGTTGCTGACTGTACTAGGGCCGCGGAGGGTGGGGTGTGAGCAGAACGCATCGTGTGCATGTGCAAATCTTCGCCTTGCGCCTTGGGTGGACGCATCACATGAAAAACATGTGTTAGGAGCAGCTGGGTTTGCGACTTGGGTTGCCCTGTTGAGGCAGTGCTACAGGTTCGGAGCTGCCTAGCGCATATTTGCGGTGAATGTCGTGACCGAGCGTGCACACTGTCTATCCTGCAGTCAGCGACACTCCGAGGCTGTACCGCTATACTGGAGCGAGCAACGCGGCCTTATACTTTTCGTATTGTGGCCATTTCGATATAATCGTCAGTCTGGCCGGCCTCGGGTGCTGCACTAAGGCTACATTTCGCATCGTACTATCCGCTTCAGAGAGCCCTTCCTCCCACTAAAACGGAGGTACGTCGCATCTTCTCAACCCAGTATTGCATGCAATACAAGCATCGAGGCATGGGGGCCATGTGTTAAGAGATCGTGTTTGTGATATCGACTTGCTGTGTTGGGATGCGGATCTGCGATTGCTGGCAGGGTACATTTAGGGAAGCGACTCGAGACATGCCAAAGCTTATGGCAGCTTTCGCAGGGTTTGCAAAAAACCTCGAGTAGTGCCTAGCGCACAACCACGCCGGTCAGTCTGCGCAGCGTTTCGGGCTTAGGATTGTTGACATCAAGCCACTGGGTAGTATCTCAGGCATGCGGGTTGGCGGTAGGTTCGATCGTGTGTTATCTGCCAGAGTCGGGTGAACCTCCCTGCGAGGCCAAAGGCCATGTGTAGGAACTAATAGCAGGAGCGCTGAACAGAAGGGTTGATCATGCTTGGGTAGAAATGGCAATGTGCGATGATTTGAACGAGCCTGATGTGAACACTACGTTTTGACTAGACCTACTGAGGCAGCCTTTAAGATTAGACAGAAGAAAATGAGCGATCGATGTGCTTGAGAGCGAAAGAAAAAAATGGGCATCCGAACGCACAGGGAAAAGCGGGATACGTAGTACTGGTAAAAATATTTGGTCCGTGCCCGCCCCATCTCGGACGAGTGTCCAAGTATCGGACCCCGAACAAAGAGGAGGCCGGACTATTGTATCGTACAAAAAAACCGAAAACTCCGTACTTGGAAGGCGACCTCGGCGACAAATCCAGTTTTTTAGGTGCTGAGTGGATTCCTGATGATTCATGCCCTCTGGTTGGTTGCTTGCAAGGAGGGTTGGAAACAAGGCACGTTTGGTACTATTGAGTTGTTTGTTTGAGTATCACAAACGGTGTTGCGATAGACGGCAGATGATGACAGGTACGAGCGGCGGTGTGCTACGTACTAGTTAACCCAACGCATTGCCATGTCGTGGCCGATGTTGCACGATTGCCAAAGCGGATCATGATGAAAAGGCGCATTCTAGAAGTCTAGACCATCTCTTCAACAGCAGGCAGGGGTCCTGTTCGTGTGTCTGCAATGGAACCGGTATGTTGGCGCTCGGAGCTGGGGTTCGCCATCCGCAAGTGATGTGCTGCAACACGGGAGGATCATGATCAGCACCAAGTCCTTCACGGTCGAGTCACGGATACGACCATGGTCATGACCTGAAATATGCGTTTGATAGTGTACGAGAGCAACGCATATTGCAATGGCTGGGTGTCAACAGAAGCAGATGCACCGGTGGGAAAAGGTGTTATTTTACGGGTGCCTTGATCATTATCCGAAGTTTACTTACTGAGCAAGCAGTAATCCGAGCCAATGGATCCTTCATGTTGGTGCTTGAGCTTTGTCGTCGGCAGTTGAGAACAAAATTGTTTTCGCACTGGATCGATGTGTCAGACTCACGATGGCTCCACCTTGAAGTCATGATCCGTTACTGATCTTCTGGTGAGGATTTTGATTAGACGCTGCGAATAGTGTTGCCACTGTGCACTAGGACGCGGTCTGACGTGGGTGGGTGCGGGCACAATGCATAACTAGCTGTCGAAGCTTTTTCAGCCTTACAAATTAGGGTGGGTCCCTGCGGAACCTGCTCCATGGGCTTGACTCATTGCATTTCCCGTCCACGCCTCAATTGAGTGCAGGTTCCTTGCGAAGGTTTGTGTGGTCTGATGACATGCCTGCTTAGAATACGCAAGGTTTCAATCTCCCGAGCTTTAGGAAAAACAAACAGCCTCGAGCTAGCCGGCTTTATAATGTACTATGCGCAAATACTTGCTATGGTTGACATCATTTCATGTCTATACGCCTCCAGTAAGTGCACAGGTGGCAGCCAAGGAATCCATGGGGATGGAAACGGACCAAAAAGTCTAGACTTCGACTCAGGATGAGCAAGCCAAGGCTGAATCCGTCTGTGTTCGAAAGTATATGCTTTAGTGGATGGATCAACTGAGCGACAAGTTCTTGGCCGGAAGGCTGAGTGTCCGGTGCCGAGCAACACAAGTGCAAATGCCGCCAAATGTTGTCAGCAGCGGAGAGTGCAACTTGGACCTATGATGACAAGACTTGGCACCAACCGGCTCTTTTGATAGTGCCATATTCTTACACGTAGCCTTGGGGCTTAGAATATCAAGAGGACCGGGCCGTGGGCGTTCGTTGCCTTGACAGACGGCAACGGTCGAGTGCGTAACCCGTCGCTCGACTGGTAGTAGCCTTGGGCAAGTAGACAGCTCAAACGTCTCCAGCTGTTACCTATGCTCCCCGTGCTTTTCGAGACCCATATTTTGTGGGCCGTACATTGTAAGGCGTGCGACAATGGTAGCAGATTGTTTTAGTACTACTACACAGGCAGCGATCTGACCCAGAAATCAAGAGAAAGAGATATTGCCTCGGTGCCAAGCCTTGAGCGAGGTAGTAAGTAGTGTACAGATGGCTCGGCGATTGTCGCATGTACCACATGTGTTGTATTTACTTGAATCGACTGGCTGCCCGTTTCTGCTCGTAGTCGAGCTCGGTAGGCCCGTACGTGCTTCAGTGTGCCGCCTTACTAAGGCCGTTCAAGGCGGCTCGTGGGTTATATGACCTGTAATAATAGGCCCACGAGTTGCTCAAAACAGCCTGACTGCAGGAAGAAAAGAGAAACTTAAACATGCATCTCTAATATGCAGGCTGATAGTATCCATAGACGAAGGCGCTTGGCAAGACTTTAGCTCGAAGTTTGCTAGGTAATCATAGAGGGCGGGACCAGTGCAAAGTGCACAGGATGAGTAAGGCCGTTGGAGAGGGCTTGGTAAGAAGTGACTATAGGCACCTAATGAGAGGATCTGCTTGGTACCCCTGTTGCGACCGGGCTGAGTAAAGCCGCAAGGTTAGGCCGTAGTAAGCGAGAGCGGGTGTCGATCCTGAGACTGCGTGCGGAGAGTCTTGCTGAGGCAATCAGAAGGGGGGCACAAGACTGATCTAGTTCTTGGACATGAGAAGCCAAGGCTTTTTGCGCACATGGCTAGGACGACAGGTATCGAAGCGGTATGTACGCCATGGCAGCAGGGGAGAATTTTGGGCTAAGTATGAATCGGAGAGACAAGACCGTCCGTCCCTTGTCCGATGTAACAAGGGAGACCGTGGGGTAATTGCCAACAAAACGTCGCACATTGGAGCATGGCAGCCAAGCAACCCTTGGACAATGACACAGCAGGCGGTTGAGAAAAGGCATTATTCAAGTTTGTAGTGGTAGATAGTGAACGTAGATTGGCTGGTTGTCTTGTCTTGGCTTGGTACAAGCGACAACCTGTCGAGGAGCATGCATTTAATCGCCGTTTACTGTCTCCGACGTGAATCGAGATGATGTCGGCGACTGTGCACCAGGACGGGCTGTACTGTATTTTTTGATATCAACCTGCATTCAAGGACCCTTGCGTTGAAAAAGCCTATTGCACACGGACGGGAGATGGGTCTGACAGGATCGCTGCTAGCAGCCCCGCATTCGTCGGTCTGTGAGCGGAGCAGGACCATGTATTTACGAGACAAGAGACAAGTGGCCGAATGCCAGGGCGGGAATGGAGACAAGCCCTGGCAATCTTGGTCGGCGTGCACTGGCGTTTAGTTGCATGTCAGCGGGCGGTGCAGCGGCTACAACATGGAACATGACGAGGGAGCGAGTAAGTAGATGGTGTTAGAGGGCGGTGATGAGGTGGTGGTGGTAACAGTAGTGGTAGTGATGCTTATGATTATGCAGATGCTGAGTGTGAGTATGGATGCGTGTGAGTGGCATGATGCACATGCACAAACGGTGGCCCTGAGCCTAGGTGGATGGCTGACATGGCTTTTGTATGCGCTCAGACTAGACTTGTTTGAAACAAAGAGCAGAAGCAGAAGCAGAGGCAAAAGGAGGAGAAGAAGACAAGAAGAAGAAGAAGGCGGGCTATCCAGCCAAACAGGCGGTGTTGATGAGGCTTTGGCATGGACGGCTAACTGAGTATTGAAACAGGGGGGTGCGTCGTATAGCCGTCGCATAAGGCCCGTCAAATCTTGCCTCAGCTCAAAGTCATGTTCTCAGCCACGCTGCCTGACGACGCCTGGCGTGTGCCGTCAACCTGCCAATCTCCCTCAGCAGCATGGGGAAGTTGGCTGACTGGCCAGCGAGAATAGCGCGTATGGGAATGTACTTACGTATGTATGTGTACAGACGAGCCAATAAACAGGATTAGGGCCTAGACGCCTGGCTGTGGCTCGTGGGAGGTGTACGTGGCTTCGATGGTGCTGTGGCTGAGGCATTTTCTGAGGGACGTAGCTAGGACAATACTTAATACGACCAAGTAAGTGGGTATGTCTGATGAAACACTGGACGAAGCGCAGGCTGGCCGCGACGCGTAGGTATGTGATAAAATCACAACAAACGGCAAAGGAGAGCAGAGCAGGTGCAGTCGGACGAGACAATTTGTGGCTAGAGGGCAACCAAAAGAGACACAGGCGGGTGTCAGCATGTGTCGCGACAATGCAGGTCGCTGATTGTGGCTGCGCTTACATTGGCAGCCAGCAATGGGCGGTTTGAAGCCATCGGTCACATTGCAGCGCCGTCGAGCACCTGGCTGGCTCGCGGTGCGATGTAGCGTATGTGGGCAGGTAAGTAAGTGAGTGTGTGTGTAGGAAGTATGTGGTAGACGGACATGTCGTCCTGGTCCGCCTCCCCCTTGGTGACTCGGGCTCAAGAGACGGAATCGGGATTGTGCCAACGTCCGAGGGAGCGAGCACGCTTTCATCAGAGGCTGATCATCTGGCTGTCAAATCAGTCAAGCAGACCTGCCTCTCTAGTTCGGCCGAGGCTTTGGTACGTTGGGGCCCCGTCGAGGCCAAAAAACGTTATCAGCGATGCGGCCATGATGATGACAGACAGGCGTGCCCACACACGCACACATACTCGATGGGCAACACACAAATGGACACATCATGGCCTCGCAGCACTCTCGAGTCCTGATGATGGCCTCGCCCATGTGTCTCACACCCCCCCTGGCCAGCATCGCCAATTTGCGGGGGGGAGAGGAGCCACAGGCGGCTCTTGTCCGTCTGATTTTGGTCGTGGAAGTCGTGTTGCCGGCAGCCGAGCGCTGCGATCTCGAGAGCTGGTCGAGTTTGGCTAGGCCCGCGTATTCGCCGAACAAAACGTCACCTGTTCTCCCTGGCGGACGAGCAACGACGCGGGCGGGCTGTCTCCTATTGCAGTCGTCGTGGGCTACTGTGCGTTCACGGTCCGCGCGTTGGCCGACTCCGCGCCTTCGCTTTGTCACTCCTCCGGCCAGCGAAGCCCAGTCGTTGCGAGCTTGGTGGCCTGCACCCAGCCCAGCCCAGCCATGCACCCTTGCACGCCGACTAATGTGCCTCAACGTGCGTGCGCCCATTGATGATGTGTAAAGAGACAGGGGTCCCTCTAGCTGCCCAGGGCCGGCCCATCTCATAATTACAGTTTCATTACTGGGTTTTTGCACCTCATGGTTATCGCCGAACGTCCGCCTGAACGCAACTATCCTCTGACGTGAATAGATATAATGCTTTCCTACCCACGCTGCCCTTTGCTCTTATTTAGGGCCTTGGTTTCCGCTCCCACCTGGACTTTTTTCCTTTGCTCACCAACATCCAATCAGCTAGTTTGTACCGTCTGGCATAGACATACATACGTACATACATACATACACATACATATACACAAGAGTCTTGGTCACCACCTGCAGCCCACCACCCTTCTTCGTCCCACATGTCGCCCCAGAGATCAGACTCAATGGAGGCCCAAGATAACATCCGAAAGCGAGTATGCAAGGCGTGCGATCGCTGCCGTCTAAAAAAATCAAAGGCATGTTCCCCTCCAGACGTGCGTCGCAATCATCCACCTAACAGGACTAGTGCGATGGAGCGAGCCCTTGCAGTCGCTGCAAAGCCGACAACGCAATCTGCGTCTTTGGCGAGCGAAAGAAGTCTCAGGACAAAGTATATCCCAAGGGGTCCGTTGCTGCTCTCATGTCGTTGATTTAAGCACAAAGGCTAACTGAAGTGTAGTTACGTCGAGATGCTCGAGCAGCAGCAAAGCCAACTAGTTGCTGGTCTACGCGAACTTTATAGCCGCCTACAGCGAGGCGAAAGCTGGCCAGGCCAACCGCTGCAAGAAACAGCAGCCGGCCATCCCCTCACCCACGACATTTTGGAACGCCTGGATCTTCTACATGCCCCCAGCGACAGCAGCACCCACTACGAAGGATTCGAGGAAGACTGCAATCGCATGCAGCAAAGACTAATCGAAGGAGGCGCTCCATACGCCCAGAGGCGGACTTCAGTCAGCTCAGAATCCGACCACGGCCACGCTTCGTCAAACTCGTCATACAACGGCACCCCCACAACAAGGTCCTTTGCCTACGAAAGCCCCTTTGCCCGAAACAACGCACCGCCAACCCCACCCATGAACAGCCCGTTCCCCCGACAGTCGCAGGTAGTTTCGCCAGTCAAGCAAGAGCCGGTAATGGCCTCGCCACCGTTCATGGGCAGTGGTGTCATGGACCCCTCTGCACTGTCGCGAGCACCCTGGATGAACGACTCGATGATGCTGGATGACACGGTCGACTTCAAGCCCATGTATGGATTCGACAGCTTCCCCGCCTACGACCAAAACATGATGATAGAGAGCGTCGCCATAAGCCCAAACGACCCAATGATGCCCGACTGGAATCCACACAATGAGTTGGATTTCAGCAGCTTCATCCAGAACTCCGTTGGCGCATAGCCATTGGTCCGGACATAACTCCACTGCTCTCGTTCCATCTCCTTGTTTAGCGTTCAAGCGTTCTGGGATACCTCCTGTTTCTTTACGGCGTTTGGGTTTGCTCATAGCTGTCGGCGTCCAATATGTCGGCGTATAATGATCTGCCGGGACATTTACTCGTTTAATGTACACTCTGGTCAAAGTCTCACCTGTTTCACGACGACGTGAACCGCTGTGCCGGGCACAGCTGCATGCCTCCGCGGCGGATTGGCAACTGTTCCCTGACAATGGGCGCAACAAAGGGCGCCTTTGCGAGTACACTGTGGTTTACCTGTATATGATATTGTAAATATTAAAACTCGCTATCTGTTCTTTTTTTCAAACCCTTATGACATTGCATGTTGGGAAATTGAGTGTGCGCGCGCTTGAAATGTCGATTACTAATGATGTGTGTGGCGGATAGAATGAGCAACTGCGCATGTGTACATACATACATACATACACATGAATCTAGTACCCATTATTAATAATCCGCTCACACTGTCCAGACATTGACGCGAAGAAATCGTCCGAACTGTTACACTGCATTCCACCCGGCACATCATGTAAACGGTCTACAGCAGCGGATTTCAGCCATGCTCCGCGTGGTAACCAGCGGCAGAAAGGAACGTCAACGGCTGCTCCACATGCTCATTAGGCTAATCAATCAACACATAAGTACGTATCCAACTACGGTCCGCAATGCGTCCATTTTCTGTCGCAATCATACGCACGATTCAAGCAAACTATTGAATCAGTCTGGTCGCCTGCTCCCACGCCCCAGGACCCCCTAAACGTATACGCGCGCCCAGACGCCCAGCTAAGGTGAGTGAGTGGTGGTGGCGGTGGTTCCGCAGCAGCCCCGCGCCTGGACAGTTTACCCCTCATCTCACCACACCAAATGTCGCAACAATAGGAGAGAGAAAGTTTACTGGGACCGTGGTGCCCTTCAACCACTCTCCCAATCCGCAGCTAACCATGCAATCCTAGGCCACCCGCTTGCCCTGCCACTACCTGCCCTTTGCCCAACAGAGCCCAGCCACACCCATTGCCCGTTGCGCCATGTCTTCAAAGGCCTTCACCTTCTTGCCCCTGGGCGCCATCATCCAAAAGTTCCATGTCAATGGGAAGAACATTGTCCAGGGCTTTCCCTCAGCTGAACTGTATAAGCAATACAACGCCCCCTTTTTCGGCGAGACGATTGGCCGCATCGCCAACCGCGTGTCCAAGGCGAAGATCAATGACCTAAACGGGAAATCGTACCAACTCCCCCTCAACGATGGCCCAAATTCCCTCCACGGCGGCCACATGGGCTGGGGAAAGCGCGAGTTTGAAGGCCCTACCACGGTGGATCGTAATGGCAAAGAGGCCACCCTGTTCAAGTACCTAAGCAAAGACGGCGAGGAGGGCTACCCTGGCACCGTGCAAGTAAGCGTGTGGTACGTCCAAGAAAAGGAGCAAGTAGATGGTGTTCAGCAAGAGGTCTTGCATATTGAGTATGAAGCTGAACTCGTCGGTGATGAGGTCGAGGAAACTGCTATCAACATGACCAACCACAGGTAAGTGTTCGCCAAGTGCTGCACCCTAGGTTACGATACTAAAGAAAAAAAAATGTTCACAGCTACTTCAACCTGACAGAAGGCCCTTCCATCGCCGGCACAGAAGTCACTCTCATCACAAACAAGTATCAAGTCGTTGACGACGGAGGCATACCCACAGGACCTATCGAAGAGTACCCTGGTCTCAGCCCCCAAAAGACTTTCACTCTCGGCGAAAAGGAACCCGATATTGACGACTGCTTTGTTTTCAACACCGACCCTAGCAGTGTACCCATTGACACGCGCTCCTTAGCTCTACAGAAGCTTGCCTCCTTCTACCACCTGGAGAGCAAGATCCATCTCGAAGTCCACTCAACCGAGCCAGCATTCCAGTTCTACACTGGAAAGTACATTGACGTGCCTGCGGTTGGTGATCTGCCCGCCCGCCGCGCCCGTTCTGGTTTCTGCGTTGAACCCAGCCGATACGTAAACGCTATCAATGTCCCCGAGTACAAGCCTATGATGGTGCTCAAAAAAGGCCAGAAGTACGGCACTAAGATTGTATACCGCAGTTGGCATGCCTGAAGTGTGATGCGTTGTACGTAGTCTTCATGTTCATTTGGATCGCAGCTCAATTGGAGTGAGAAAAAAAACAGCGATTCAGCAATCAAATGCAAAAGAGAAAAGCAATCTTCAACTACAACCCCGTATCTTACAGTATGCATAGTGCTCGAACAATTTCCTTCGCCTGTTACTCTACGAACATAATTGTCTCGCTTCGTCACCATTGGACCATTATTCCAATATTCTTCCACGTCTTTCAAGCATTGGCGTCCCTAAGTGCATCCCCTCGGTCCAATGCCATTCTCTATCCAAGCTGCTAGGTCAAACTGGAGACATAGATCAACTTATGCGATTGCGATCGTCAATTGGCATTCACTGAGTGCAGGGGTGAAGGTCTGTGCACCACACAGTCTCAGTATTTGATACACTGCACGACGTCACACCCAGCATAGTTCACATTTGCCAAGTTTGTGGTCAGAGGCCAGGTTCTTGCTTCCGCTCCCCACACTATTCTTAACTCTACCGGAAAGCCAATTCAGACCTCATGCGTCTGTGGTGAATGGGACCCAGCTATCCACAGTGACATGTTTACTTCATGGACTGAAGAACAAAGTATCCTTTTAAACGTTACAGACACCTATTCTACATCGATACCGACAAAAAGGAAAGGTCTACTGTGTAAACCTTGTTTCCAGCACCGCACCTTGACAAGTCCATTTTGGCACATTAGCCAGTGGTCTAGGCAGACTTGTTGACGCGGCCTTGGGAAAACATGCTCTTCACCACGTCTCGGGCTGTGCACGAAACATATGGAAACACATAACCACGCGAGTAATTTACGGCTTTGCTGATGCTGAGATACGTGGCTACTGACGTCAAGTGTCTGGTGTCGACCCTTGCGACATACTCTGGAGTTGTCTCCGTTGCGACGCCGTCGTCCTGGTTCCCTGTAGCGCAACACCTCTTAAACCCGTTCCTAGCTCACGTCTACTGTATCAAATGCACGTGTTATATTAGTAGCCATGCGCACAAGTCCTTGGTACGCAGGCACATAGTCGCTGTGGAGCTTTACCCTATCAACAGTTTCTTGAACGACGTCATTACCAAGCACGGACCTGGCCATCAACTGTTGGCGGGTCTGTGGAAAGAACATCCATCACATCGTTTGAATTGTCATCAAGCCAGAAAGAAGCACAAGCGCAGTTCCTACAAGCACCGAAATCATCGAGTGCTGTGTTTGGTTGGAGAGGGGGCTAGGCCGCTCAGGAAAGTGTTGCCCTACAACTTCCCCTCCCCCGCTGCGCATCACCCTTCGGTACCAAGAAGTTGGAATACCTTGTACGGTATATCCTAGTCTCCTGTCGACCGGCTCTTGCATGAGCACGCCCAGCATATCCCATACACGCACCCCTTCCCTGTCGCCAAATACAACCAAGAAAAACTTCATTACCTCCTTTGCTGTTTTCGGAAACCCCTTGGTCAGGCCATCACATGCCCAAGCACATCGCTCGCATGTGCACACAATCACCGAATCGCGTGCCTGAATATGGAATTAATACTCGTAATGCCCACTTTCAGGTTAACACTACCGAACGGAAGCCAGACAGCGGCACCTAGCCTTGGGCTCTTCAGGCTTCCTCAGCCCAATCGCGGCAGATTCTTTTTTCCATTTCGGATTTACTGTGTAACGCCAACTCGTGTTAATGGGTCCATTAGGCTCCGTCGCTAGCCAAGAACAATGTAGAAGAAAAGCAAAGCCACGCGAACTAAGGAACGGTAACCAGGAGGGCAACTCGGTACGCATCATTCAGGCTGTAGCTTGCCGACTCAGTACCGGGCCTGTTAGATCTCTTTTTTTTTGATTGCGGGAGAACACTTGACAAGTCTTGATTTCTTGGTGGTCATTTCCAACCCGACGTTTGAACCACGACAACCCTGATGGTCTGATCTCAGCAGTAGCGCACGTAGATGGACACTCCCCCCGATCCAATTGTATCGAACCCTTCTACCAAGGCCACCAACATTGCTACTTGTATCTTCCGATCCCGATTATCACTTAATTTTCATATGCCCCTCGGCCTTATACTCTCAGATCATGCCGAGATCGCCAGGGTGGAACTAAACCACCAAACTGCAGCACAAACAAGGCTAGCAGAAAAGGAAGCAAAGCAAAGCAAAGAGAGAGAAAAAAAACCTGGAAAAGTTCGATCCCCACACCCGTAGTGCAAACTCTTCAAGGCCAGAAAAACCAAAAATGGTTCGCCAGCCGCATCAAGAACGCAAAGCAAAGAAGGAAAAAAAATACACTAAACCAGCCCAAACCTCCCTAGTCCCACCACCAACGCTGCAAATTCCTCTTTTTCCAAGCGCCGCACCTCAGCTCGAAAACCAACACCACGCAGCGAAAACCTGTTTGGCACAAAAACACTGCCGTCTATTCCTCAACCTACTTTTTGTTTCAGTTAAAAAAATAAAATGCATAGCACACCCTTGCTTTGAACGATACACAAGAGGGCCTATTGCGCAAACGAAACCATCACTGATATTACTGTCAAGTGTCTAATAGGACGTATTTGTCGATCTCCCGAAATCTATCGGCGTCGCGGCCATGTTTGGCTTGCGAGATCCAATCTGTAGTCTCTTTTCGGTTACCGGCACTCACGGATACGGCACCTAGCCGCCATTCCGGGGAGGCGCAGTTTAAGATAACATATAGATCCTGTATTGCGGGTGGCTGATGAGGGTGACATTCTTCTTGTTTGCGGCGATGACGTCGACGATCGTGAGGTGTTTTTGGCGATGATACGAGAGCGAGGGAAAATGGGGGGGTGTGGTGTATGAGTCGTGGAAGAGCGCTTGGTGCCTGTTTTTTTTTTCACGTGAACTTGTGGGGGGATGAGAGGCGATGATAAAATGGTAAGTGGCACAAATGATGCAAGGGGTGAATTATCCAATATCTTGTCCTGGTTCCGCGAAGGAACACCCTTGCTCATTCTTTGTGTTTTCCCATGGTTGGGCTTTCTTTTGAATACGGATGGATGCGCAAAACTTGGGTTCAAGCACATTTTGATGCAACACATCCGATTCGCACAAACACATGTCCCTTGTAGAATGGAAGAAGAAAATACAAAGTGAATTCCTCCTAGATCGTAACATAACAATCATAGCTAGATATCTTTTGTACCTACTTATCTAACCTAACCTCAATCTCACATCCATGATTCTCTCACCAACCCCAAACTAACCATCTACACATTATGCACATGAATATTACCACCCCCCCCTCAAATAAACCCATCAACACACGTGGTAACTCCTCTCCCTACCCGTATCCATAACCAACCAACCAAAACAACTTTGATCCGTTTTTTTTTAAAGAAAGGATGAGCAAGAAGAACGCCTGAAGTAACATGTTCAAGGTCATCTAAATCATATACCATAATCTCCCTCTGCTCGCTCCACGTGGAGATAAAGGATGACATTCAGATACGAGAAAAGCATATAAATCTTACTAATCGTAAGCAAAATTCGGTGAACATTACACTTGTATCCAGCCAAGAAGCGTCGTCTAACCACTTGTCTCGAAAATACAAGGAACCGTTTTTAACTTTTTTTTGGTCTTTTCTTCTATTTGTGTTTATTTGCAAAAGGATGAAATTTAAAAAAAAGGTGGGATAGAGAAAAAGTTAGATTGTTGGATGATGAGTATTTACGATTGAATCTTTTTCTTTCTTCTTCTTAACCGTGTCATGGTTAAGGAGGAAAGAAAGAAAAAAAAGAGAGAGAGAGAGGGAGAGGATGTTGTGGAGATAGGAAAAAAAAACCCCCCGCTAGATTTTAATTGGTTATCAAGATATAAACAAACACACATCATAACGTTAGATTCATGTTTCCAAAAGTAAAGGAGAATCAAAATCTTTTGCATAATTATCTGATTTATATCTCTTTAAAAAAAAAATCAATTCTAATTACACATCTCCACCCTACAAAACATTCGCAATCTCATGCGAACTCTCCGCTATGCAATCCATCACTTTCCCCATCTGAAAACCCCCCCAAAAAAGGTATCTCCGCCCCCCATCAATCCCACTTCCCCACTATCCACAAACACACATCATCTAAAACTTCTTCTTCGGTCTCATATCCACCAACTCCAACGGCGCATCCATCAACTCCACCACATGTCCCGGTTTAAGCGCCTCTGTATAAATATTGTCCACATCGTGAGGGTGAAAGATACCAGGACGGGTACAACTGAGTATTGCCTGTTTACCCGGGGGATCAGTGAGACGGAAGCAGCCCCAGCTAAAGTTTTTCATTGTTAGCACTAATGAAGTAATCAAAAAAAAGAGAAGGGAGGAGGGAGATTGAAAGAGGTATAGAGAGAAGAAGAAGAAAAAAACGAACCTAGGTTGTTTAGTGGGAGCGCAGACAATAGCTATGCTTTCGGGCATCATGACTTGGTATCCGACGTGAGTGTGTAAATCGCGACTGCTCATGAAACATGTTTGAGTCGGGTGCGTATGAATCCAGCCTAGGACCATTAATTCTTCTTTATCACAATAGTCGAAGAGCTCCTCCTCATTTAGTGTCTCGCACGTGTCGCTGGTGCTGGTCTGTTCGGGAATGATTAAGCGCGTGATGAAGAGGGCGTTGGATTTTAATATTCCGCACAGCATGCCGCAAGTTTCGAGGTTGAGACGTGTGTTGGATGATGCGAGGACAAGGAACTGGTTGCGGAGCTGGGATGGCAGAAAGACTGGACGAAGCGGATCTCCGTTTTCAAGATAGGCAGAGGGCTTGAAGGTGAACTCGTCCAATTCTCCCGAAGGAGTGAGTGGACGCTGGTCAAGTACTTTTCCTGGCAATGGCGGTGCGCTTTCCGAGATCTTGCCTGGTACAGGTGGAGGGCGTGGACGTTCTGATCGCGAATCGTATGGAGAGGCTGTAGGCTTGGGAGGCAGTGGTGGAGGCACCATGGGGAGACCCGAAGACCTGTATATTTGTTCCTTTGGGGGTCTCGTTGGTGGAACACCACCCGGTTGGGGGTCGTTCCATATATCTTGTCCTGTCTTGTGAGGAACAGTTGGGTAATGATATGTGGATGTCGACTGAGGCGCTGGATGCTGCGCTTATTAGTATATGGAGGCGTTAGGCATTGTCGGATTTCAACTTACCGACGAGTACGATGCTCTCTGACCATTCTGCTGCAATCTAGCAACCTCTTGTATCTGGTTAGAAATATCGTCTCTGTCGCTGCCCTGCTGCGTCCACTCGTTTTGCCAACTATCCAAGGTACCACCAGAACGTTGTGCTAGGTCGTCTGCTTCCAAAACATTGTGCTGTCCCACGCTTATCCTGTTCGTAGCTCTCCTCCTTACTTCTCGCTGCGCCAGTCTCGCAGCCAGTAAATGATTATCTTGAGCGCGCGCGTCAATGGTCCGTCTCGAGTCATACGACCTTCTCCTGGACCCATTGAATTCTTGAGAAGCAGGGCTACCAGTTTTGCCTTCCAAAGACCTGAGCATCTCTTGCTGCTTCTTGCGCCTTGCCTCGTAATCTTCATGTCTCTTCTTTATCCGGGGCGCAATTTCCTCGAGCTTCTTCAGGTCCCGGCTGACGGCGGCTGTGGCAGCATTCAGCGCCTTGCGATTCTCGGGCTTGTTGCGGTCGGGGTGACCTTGTAGTTTCTGAAGGACAAGATCGGCGTGGCGGTATAGCAGGAGGTATGTCTGCGCATCGTTGCCTTCTGCTTCGTAGACTTGTGCCTGGGAAGCTGTGAGCATGCGCACCTTGCATGGAGCCTAGCGACGCACCTCTTTCTGCATGGTATTGGCAGTGCGCAGCCAGTTTGCCAGGGGAATGTGCGCATCGTAGGTGTAGTTTCCAGCCTGTTCGGCCACCTCTGCGACGCTCACGGGCGTGTTGATGGCAGCCATTGCGGGGGGTTGCTCGTGTGCGGCGGCGGGGGTTTGTGCAAAGTATAGTCGCGGATGTCAGGGTCAAGGCAGCAGCCTAGACATGGGATAGCAGGGCCGCTATGGGTGCGGGTCGGGACCAAGGCGTCGTCGTTAGCGACATGTGGGAATGGGAATATGGGCGAGTTGGGCATTCGGGCACTGTGACGGGTGAGGATAGAAGCTTTGGCGGGGCATGACGGGCAAGCAAGCGGGCAAGCAAGCGGGCGGGCACAGCCCAGTCAGTCATTGCAACTCCAGGCCCGATGCATGGCCGGCTGGGTGAGGTGAGATCAGCAGAGGTCACTCCATGCTCCTGGATTAGAGAAGAGATACATGCACAACGCCTTGACGTGCAGGGCACAGGGGGAGGGGGGGGACAGCAGCGCGTGTTCACGTGTCGCGACATCGGGGTACAGATGCACAGTCTAATCGCGTCTAGCATCCAAAAAAGCATACAGAACCATGGCGAGCAGCGGCCGGCAAAATACAAACGTCTTCATCTATCCTCGGAATCCTCCGACAGCTTGTCCCACTCGCTATCCGTAGACAAATCGCCTGTAGACTCGGCCATGCCCTTTCTTCTCTTGGTCGTCTCGTTGGCTGGAACTGCAAGGCCTGTAGTCGCGCCCGTAGAAGTGCTCGCACCGGCCGTCACAGGAGGCGGTGGCGGGCTGCTCACAGCACTGCCTTGTGGCCTGTCAACCAGGACGGTGCTCTGTGCCTCAGCACGCGGTTGTTTGGCCTTGGGCTGCGGCACCTGTCTCTGCTCAACCTCGGTCTCAACTTCGGTGTCGTCTCCAGAGTCCATGGCTTCACCGTCACCATCGTCTCCCTTCTCCTTTGCGCCTCTTCTAGCTTCACGAATCCGCTTCGCCTCCTCCTCTTTCTCCTGCGCAGCCCTGATTTCTGCCGCGAACCAGTTGATTGACCACCAGAGACCTCCACAGAGGAGAGACAGGATGATAAAGTGTATGCTGTAGGTCGCGAGGAGCATGGCAAAGAGGAGAAGCTGGAGCGCGGCGAAGGAGGCGTTTGTTGCGACAAGGAGCGTGGGAGTCGGCCCTGGCGTGAAGATGGACTCCCACAACTGCTCGAAAAAGGAGGCCATGGTTTGCGTGTGCGTGTGTGCGTGTGTGAATATAAATGGGAATGTGAGTGGGTAGTGGTAACGTCTGTTGGTCGCGAGGACGGATAGCAGCGTGCTTGTCGTGTGTAGGTATTTGGCCGAGAGGGTTACTGTACTATGCTTGTATCGTCCTACCCCGCGATACGTATGGCTGCCTAGCAGATTGAAGCGAACACTTGCAATGTTTGCGATGCGATGCGATGCGATGGAGTAGGCAGGCAGACAGAAATATGCCGTGCGATTGCCACTGGGCTGTTGACCAGCGCCAGAAGGGACTGACCGAGGGGCCTGTTGGAGACTGAAAGACGCTCGCTTGCTGTCGCGGGGTCCATGGGCCCGACGCTCGTCTCCTGCCTGATCACGCGTCTTCACTCCTTAGATTGCGCCCGTCAATAAGGATTCAGCGCCCTCCGTACCAGCCCTGCTCGTGACCAGCCTTCTTACACGACCCGCCCACCTGACCCTCACTGATTTATGCCTCCATGCCATGGCATGCTTCGACACCGCCGGCTGCCGTCTGGGAAGCACACACAAGCAACGCACCCGTGTGCATCGGTACCAATGCTTCAGAGCACAACGGAGGCATTATCGGCCGTGTGCATGTTGAAAAGTACAAAGCCAAACGTGACCTGACCATCACTGGTAAGCTAATGCAAGGACGGTCTGATGTGCACATCACTGACTAGGTGTGCTTACTCTATTCCCCGGCATGATGAACACCACCCCAGAGCACTCAATGGTATGCTGCTACGCCATCAACGACGCTTACATAACAAACAGTCTGCGAGGCCGTAGCTCCACCACCATGTACTCCGCTCAAACCCTGTATCAAAGGCAAAGCCAGCATCTCGGCCCCGCCTCTTGCCCTGCCCGGACTGACATCTCCGCATGAAGGACGTTGTAGTCCGCCCTTACGTCACATAAACGGACCGACGGCTCCAAAGAACAAAAACGGACATGCCTCCGTCATGGCTGTCTGTGGACAAAACACCATTGCTGTGTGTTGAGGACATGTATTACTAGCACCGGATGTGACCTTACCGCGGACCAAAAAGAACATGGTACCAGTACTATTCATCCCCTCCCCCTCCCCGGATCCACCTCGACAGCACCATAATGCTTCAAGAATCTCCCCCGGACAACCAGCCCCTCCATCTCCGCTACAGCAATCGGCCATAACACCCTCCCAGCACCATCCTCCCACCCAATCGGTCGTTTCCCATCAAATGCATCTTCATACTCTGGTGCTGCGCTCATGTACCCCGGGTCAACCGTGTTCATGGCCACCCTCCTCGTCCGCCATGCAGGCTCCGCCTCGGTCTCCGTCAGCATGTTTAACGCCGCTTTGGACATGTTGGTATGCACGTGCTTGCCCCGTTTCGCCGTCGACGTAAGGCCATCTTCGAAGATGCCTTCACGCGAGGAGACGTTGATGACGTAGCCTTGGGGTTTGGCGACCTTTCCTGATGCCGCCACTGGTGACAGCTCAGTGACACCCATCAGGGGAAGGAGCTCTCGACAGAGAATAAAAGGAACAAACGTATTGACAGAAAGCGCGGAACCAACATCTTCGTAAGGGATTTCGGATATGCCTTGTACCCACGACGATTTGGTATACGGTTCGATTTCTGTCGTGGTACTTTTTGACGTCTCGACTTCTTTCAGAGTCCACATGGCATCGGTGTCGTTTTCCGGGCCATCCATTCGTGTCGAATATGCTTTCCCATTCTCCAATACTGACGGCAGTGCTCCACCTCTAACTCTCGCTGTGTAGTTTTCTCCAAGCAACAAACCTGGATGCGTCCCACGTCTCTTCAAGTCTTGCTCGCGCTCCATGGCCCGCTCTTCTTTCTTAACACTATCCGTAAGAGTTTGAGCCGCATTATTAATCAACGCAGACAACCTAGGTTTTCCCCCATCCGCCCACTGCTTTAAGCACTCCTGCGAATATGGAAACCCCACGTTAGTTTCCGTTTCAAATTGCCGTGGTGGAAAGCTAGACAAACCTACCTTGACCTCATGCACCAATTCAAACGCATCTCTAGCGCTCCGAAAATCCGCACCTACCACCCTGAGTCTACCTATCCATTGGCGGGAATCCGCCTCATCTGTATATCGTGATATAGCATCTCGTGGGTACCGACTCGTGGCTATGACTCGGCCTCCGCAACGCAGCAATCGCAACGCAGTGTGGTATCCGAGATTGACACGTGCTCCAGTGACCAAGGCAGTAAAATTGGGCGTCAAAGTCATTTTTGGTGGCAGTGAGATTTCAGACGAAGCGTGATTGAAGGTGCCACAGGGTATGCACATTGATGGGTGAGAAGGAAACGGGCGCTTGATTTCGAGTCGGCAGATGTAGCAGAGGCGCTTGCGGGGTACGGGTGGTGGTTCTGGAACGCTTGGAGTAGGAATCTCGTGGTGAGTAGCAACTTGCTCCTGCAGCCATGTTGTAATGGATTCGGCTGTGCTGTCTCGTCCGATGATTTTCTTGTCTTGTAGATGTACGAGAACTCTCAATGCCGTTGACAACTCTTCTGGGCGTATCTCCCTTCCAACCTCTTCCATCTCTTCAACAGCTGCATTGTGAACTATGTTAGGTCCGTCGTTCTTCAGATACCGCCGAATTTTGCCAAGGCAATTCTCGTAAATCATTCTTCTGAGCTCGTGGTTCACACCGGGAATTGGTGTTAGATGTGCAGCAATGGCTCTTCCGAGGTCTGTATCGTAGCCTGGCAGATGCCATGCCACCCAACTACAAGCCTTCTGTGCATCGATCAGTTTCTCGTCTGCGCGAAGCCGCTCGCATATTTCCTCGGCGGACTTCGTAGCCGCAAAGTGTGGCGCGTGTAACGGAGACAGCTCTATTATCATGTTGTAGTAGATGTGCCCACCAAATAACCCACGTAGATGCCGGGGTGGGGTGTCGCTCAATTCAAATAATGTCCAAGGCAACAATGCATTTTAGGCCCCAATATGCTGGCTTTTTTCAACGCCATCGCTTTTGTCCCGCCTGTGCCCTTTTGCCTACTAGTAACAACGCCCTTTTGTGAATGACTCAAAATCTCGAATACGTACCCCACCTACTTACTACGTACAAAAGCCGTCCGAGCAACTGGAATGATGTTCCCGTCCAAAGTCACATAAACAATCCAAACAAAAAAAGTCAGATAGCATATGACCTCGACTGATACACACAACCACCCTCCGGGGTAAACAAAAATAAATATGATAGCAACTACGAAATACCAACGCATATCCAAAAACCTCGAATCCCTCCCTTGCGAACTCCACGAAGACATCCTAATCCACCTCCAATTCCACCAACTCATCCGCCTCTCCTCATGCGCAGGGCCCCGTCTAATCTGGTCGCTCCAAAATAGCCTTTCCCCGTGGCACCGCTACTTCTCCTCCTCCACAGCCATCACCTCACTCCAGGAACTCCTCGCCATAACCGACACAGTAGCCAAACACGGCTTCCCACCCTCCCGCCACTGCATCGACTTGACCAAAATCTACGAAGAGCCAAACCTGCGCTTCCTAGCGTACAAAGACTCGGAATGGGCTTCACCTCACAGCATCGTCTCGATGCGAAATCTGCAGACGAGCGAGGCGCTAACGAAACACTGGCTTAACCACCTAACCCGCATGGTGACTCTTGTAATCAAACCCATCATACCGGCGCACCCTTCGTTCCCGGAATTCCCTTCTTCGTTCCCGACACCCGCGTCGCTCGCTGCGTTTGTATCGTCGTACCAGCGCGCCCGCGAGGCCGGCGCAGAAGCGCTGGCTCAGCAACTGGAGCATCTGGCCGCGCTGTACGAAGCTCATCCTACAAGCTTCAAGATGCCGTTTGACCCGCGGCCTCATCCGCCGAGCAAGCTGAATGTGGCGCATATCCCCAAGACAATGCGGTCGCAGGCGAGGCGGATTGTGAATATGGCGAGGGCGGGCAAGTGGCGGCGGAACAGGGTGTTTTGGCATCGGTTTGGGTGGCCGGGGCTTGTGCCGTATGAGTGCTATGTGCGGTTGTTTAATGGGGTTGTGCTGTGGAAGGGGTTGCTGGAGGGGGAGGGGAAGTTGATAGAGGAATGTAGGAGGATTATTGAGGATAAACCGGCGTGGGCTGATGGTGGGGGGAAGAGTGAGGGGGACGCGATTGAAGAGTTGTCGAGTACGATGGAACGGCAGAATCTAGGAGATGGTGCTATGCCGATTCGTATCCAGGTTCGTCTCGAAGATGCGGAGGATAAGGGCAAGGTGCTGGCTGCGCCTCGTGCAGAGGCCGAGCTACAGTGGCTGGAAAGGTTTGCACAAGTGACGACATCTTTGGAGCAGGCGTATCCTGACTTGGCAAAGGATAGCCTAGTATCTGTTTCAACGTGAAAGTACTGTTGTTAATTTAGTATCGCCTCCATTCCTGTGTTCTCTCACTGTTGCAGTATATCCAGAGTTACACTCAGGTATTGATGCGACTAACCATTGTATTCATACTCGATAGAGCGGATCTACGGGGTATCACAATAATAATAACCAAAATATCCGTCTTTAGATTCGTACTCTACCGCCCCCCTGCAGACGGAGTTTGCGACTTCAACTGTTTTTGAATGTACATCTTGACATGCTCCTGCGTCGGCCATCCGCCCCATTCTTCCACACCCTCAATCTGCTTTCTGATGAGGAGAGCAATGTCTTCGGGTGCATGAGATTCATGCTGAGATCCCATGTCTGGCCCCCCACCGCTAATGGCCAATCTCAATGCCACCAGCATCCTGAACAAAGTGTCCATGCCGCCGCGCTGTGCTTGCGCACGTACACTGACTTCAGAACGGTAATTGGTCAGCCAGGTCGTAAACGAGTAGAGACCTTCATAGTCGCCCAAAGCGCCTAAGGCTCGCACATAAAGGTGGAGCTCTGTAGGTCCAGGAACATGTGGTGAGATAACACCACCCATAGGCTGCTCTTGATGGGAGTGCATGTTGACATTGGCCCCAACTAAGCTGTTGAATAACGATCTGAGACGGGCTGAACCAGTCGATAATAAGCGCGCGTCTTTAATAGACACAGTGCTCTGGCCCATACTCTGTGCGGCATACGTAGTCGCCATGCATGCACAGCCAAAGATGTCATCATCAACATCAACATCAGCCTGCTCAATGTGCTCAAGCAAGTCACACACAACCCTATAGCGTTCGACTTGGACAGCCTGTGGAAGTTTTCTTTGATGTAGCAGCTTATTGATAAAGATTGCCCAGGCGGGCCGGTATTTCGGCCGATAGCGTACAAGAAGACCATGCGCATACTCCAATAGATAATTCTTGTTGGTCCGAATCTGCTGCACGTGTTCTTGAGGATCCAGTACCGTGGGCTCCCTTGGCAGCGGCCGCTCAAAGCGCCCGAAACGACACAAGAACCGGATGATAGCTGTAAAGAGGTACCCCTCAACTGAACGGACCGAGGCGTCATCGTCGTTCATACCATACAGTATGCGGCCTATACCACCATTGAAATCTTCTCTGCTCATATGCAGTAGATTCAGACATGTGTGGAAGTCGGGACACGTTTCCAGGAGGAAGGCAAGTAATCGATGCGAAGGCTTGATATTGGTGGTACGCATTCGTTCAAGCAGCTCTTTGTACTCAGGAACAGGCTCACTAAGATAAACATAGTGCAATGAAGATGATGGATCTGGCAAGACCTCTTTCATGTCTCCAGGTAGCAGATGATTACCATCATCTTCGGGGGCTTGATCTGCATCGGCCGAAAGAGGTGGGGCGGGTATTCTCTTTATAGCAGAATAATGTAGCTTTTCGAACATGGCGAGATATACCTCGGAGTGAGTGCTTTCACCCGAAAGCTCGTGGGAGAGAAAGCACGCCCAGGCCTCTCTTCGCGTGCGTGTGGTCCGTATACGTGCAGCCCAGAGCAGCGGGCGTATATAGTGATTGTCGTTGAATCTAGAAGAGACATGTGGTAGCGTGGTTCGAGTTTGTATTGTTGGGCTGTTGTCTGTATCCCAACCAGCATAGATCTGTACCATGTCCTCAAACATGCGATTGGTGTATCCAGCTTCGTACATGCGATGTAAGAGCTGAGAGGCCCGTGAAGCACCAAAATTGTAGCCTTTTTCTTCGTCCATTGCGGTACGGTTCTCCTTCCACGGCGGCCAAGATGGTCCTTTGAGTTCTGCCCAATCTCGTTCTTGAGTGGTCTTGGCGTGGGCCAATTGATTACGAGCTACTGCCCGGAAACCGGGGCGTGACACTACCATAGATGGTGATGTACTAGCCATATACTTGAGTATCTGAAATTGAGCCTTCTCCTGGTAGGTGGCACAGACTAAGGGTCGGACGCTTGTTGGCAGACATAACAACACAAGGTAGGAATTGAAGAAGCGAGTCATATCAGACAGCATCCGGGGCGACCTATCATGTAAGCGACTGGATTGAGCAGTCAGGAAAGACGTGATCCATGTCATAGACTCAGGCCAGACTTCGCGCACATGGCGAAGTAGGCGGACTGCAACAATCTTGAGCTGGGACCATTCAAGAGTGTCTGATTGGACAAACCGGTCCAGGTGCCTCATAATGATACCTAGACTGTGCACTCTGATATGTCTACGGCGCAGAAATAGCAACACCAGGAATAGAGGGGGTGCCTCATACTGTTGTTCGAACACTGCAGCCGCCACATTGCATTTGGGCTCTACAAGACATGCTGCCCACTGCTCCACGCTTTCGGGTCTGTAACCTTTGGATCGCAGCAAGTGCAACTCTAAAGCAGTGAACCGAAAATTAGACTCTGTTGGAGGTGAGGAGGTGCAGTATTTGAGATAGCGCGCAAGTACAGAATAGAGCGAAACAGGCTCAAGATGCTGCACGGGTATGCCAGCTGTCGCAAAGGCTTGCGAGTCTTGTTCCTGAGTCGCAGAGTCTTGTACAGTGCATGACGAAGAGCGCTGACTGGAAGCATTATACCTGTAGAGGTCTTTGGCCGGACTGTTGATGGATTCCAGAACAGTGACAGGCCTGCTCTTACGTAGCGCCTTTCGTGCATTGCGCGACAACTGGGCACGAAACGGAGTAGAATCGTCGAAATCTTCAACGGCGTCTAGTGATGATGGAAAGTCGTCTGGCTCGACATGTGGGGCTAGATTGCTCGTGGAAGTATGGCGCCTCGATAATGTCTGAAGCGCCTCGAGGCGACACAGAGGCGGGCCATTGCGGTGAGGTAAAGACAAGCACCGGGTTTGCGAGGGGAGGAAGCGATGACATGCTGGCAACGAAGAGTGATGTCTCACGTGACGGCAGTTGGGGTTGGAAAAGGAAGGGGCTTGTGGGGGTGCAGTGAAGGAAGGAAGCTTAAGCAGCAGGTCAGCAGCAATCCAAGTCGGCGTTGTTGGTGAGAGGGGCCTACCAGGCGGGCAGCCAGGCGCGTCACACAACGGCCCAGGCGATGCGGGCTACGTGGAGCTGCCAGGAAGAGGATGAAGGGCATTCATTTGACGGAAGCGACCAGGGCGAGGGCGCGTAGACGTCAATTGCAGTAAAAGGACGGGGTGGATGGCGGGCAGCAGGCAGTGGATAGCGGGCGGAGGGCAGTAGCAAAATCGCAGGTGTGGCGCAGGTAAGCGGGTGTGGCGTAAATGCTTGGCGCTGCGCCTCGCGCTGCAATGGTTGACTGGCTGATGGCAAGCAATTCATTCATCGCCGTGGTACGCATCTGGACCACGGGCAACCCAAACCCAACCTGGGCCAATTCTCCAACACCATCCATCGCCCGATCCCGGCCCCTTGCGCGTCGCAGAGCCCCATCTCGTGCCTGTCTGCGCCAAATTCCGAGTTTTTATTCTTGCAGCTGTTGTTTGCATCGCGCCCTGCACTGTCGCGGCGAGGGAATGCTGCTGAAGACGAGCGACTAACGACTCCTCCGGCCGCCCTGAGCGCGTTCCATCCCACGCCATCACGAGCGCATCCCCAGCAACACCCAGCACTCACCATGGCCGCCGCCAACGGCACCCTCACCCCGCCGACCCTTCCGCCTGCGCCCACGTCGCCCTCGGCTGCAAAGCGCAAACTCGCCAGCCCCCGTCCAAAGCCTTCCAATGTCGCTCCCGCGCCTGTTCAAGCAGACGGCCCAGCAGACGGCACGCGTTCTCTGCAGGCGGCATTGCACGACATACTCGAGGTCCTCAAGAGGTACGCATGCTGCAAACTTGCTCCCTGTCCAGCTGGCAATGCCGCCTTTTTGTCTACATGCTGACTCCCTAGTAGCTACGACACGCAGCCCTCGATTTTGTCGCATCCCATAACCTCGTTGATAACCCGCTCTGTCTCTGGAGAAGCCGACTCCAAGCGCACCAAACTGACCCCCCCGACTGGCCCTGCAACCATCGCCACCCTTATCCAAGACGGTTCCTACGATTCTCTGCACGCTCTCGAAAGAGATGTTGAGAACGCGACCACGGACATTCTGGCCTCCACTGGCGCAAGCGACGCCTCGGCCACAAGAACCTCTCCCCAGGACACTGCGCTCCAAGGCAAGGTGCTCGCTTTCCAGACAATCCTTAAGAACCTAGTCAGCAGAGAAGAAGCACGTAAAGAACATGTCCAAGCAAATGTATCCAATCAAGAGGCATCTCCACACGCGTCAAAGGAAGAAGGCACTCCAGTAGCTATCAAGGAAGAAGAGCATGAGGTACAGGGTCCCCAGAGTCGGACAGTCCTCACACTGTACGGAAGCGCGCCGCCCAAACAGCTGTTCTCGAGCCTGCAGCAACCTCAAAAGATATCCCCCACAACCCCCATATCCGCCCTCGACACTGCCGTCAAGGTGATATTGCCTCTCCGGGAGGCAAATCTACCGAACCTCATTAGCACTACGGAAGTGTACCCTCTTCCTGATCCAGATAGCAAGAAGCAACCCGCGACAATCGGAAATGTCTTTCGGGCACCTCCTCATCTGACACAGATTAGTCCACCCAAGTCTGCCAGGCCAACAACAAGCAAAGGCAATAACACCATTACCTTTGCGCACCAGGAAGCCCCCAAACCCCGGCGCAAGGGCTCCCAATCGTATGCACATCAAAACTTGTCGTCTGGTTTCTGGCTAGGTTATGGCGGCGTGGACATGCCCAAGGACCAAATTTCGCCAACCGCAAAGCAAAAGAGCAGGCAGCGTGCCCTGAGTATGGGAGAGGCCCAACAACCACCGTCCGAGGCCATTCTCGTTGCGGTCCAGCAAGCAAAGGAAGACGCTCTGTTTCGCAGTGCATACTCTAGCTTTGCGCCAACTCGAGACGATACGTCTGCCATCATTCCCGAGGAGACAAAGAACATGGTGTGGTGGCATAAGGTCGGCGAAAAGCGCTTCAATGAAATGTTCCCAATCGATCCAGCACTGCTCGATCCTGAAGAAGCAGAGGCAGCACTTGCCAATGGAACCACTGACGAGGACGAATTGTTCAAAGAAGCCGTTGAAAACTTTACGCCTATTAATGGAGATGTTTTGCCTGGCACAGAAGAGAAGAGCGAAGAAGAAAAAGACACGGAACAAATCCTCAAAGATATCTCAGAGCTCCTCGAAACACTGGCTTCCTACCAAAGGATAAGAAATCTCTCACTTACAACCAACCCGCGCACACCGGTTGTTCAAAATGCCTCTCTGGCAAACCTGGCTGGCAGTCCATCAACGCCATCGTCTGAAGAGTTTGATGTCTATCAGATTCTCAAGTCGCAGCTGACTCTACTGATCTCACAACTCCCACCCTACGCCGTTGCCAAACTGAATGGGGACCAAATGGACGAACTGAACATCAGTCGAACGATTCTCTTCGACACGAAAGAGTACAAGGGAGTCTTGGAAGATGACCAGCTCTTGAAACTTTCAAAGACACCTGGAATGACTGCTTCCACGCCCGCGACACTGGCGCGCACAGGTTCTGGCGCGGGTGCGCACTATCCCGCAGCTGGTCACCAGTATGGCCGTCCTACACCGTCCGTACAGCAACCAGGCGGCCGCCCCATGTACTCGCAACAACCTCCTATGCATCGGTCGTCCTCGATACATCTGCAACGCTCACCCTCGGGCGTACAGCAACCTTTTCAGCCAGGCGGTGCTTCTTATGCCCCTTCTTCCCGACCAACATACGCAGCAACACCTTCTTATGGCCAGCAGACAACACGAACAAGCTATGGAACCACGCCTTCTGGACAGTATTTCCCACAACGCTCGGCACAGCCCAGTGGATACGGTGGTGCTGCCGGCTCACAATACTACAACTCGACCCCTCAACCACAGGGCCAAAATCGGTATGCAGCACAACAAAACCAGGCCAACTTTTATCCACGTCCGCAGAATGGTGCACCCCTCTACAATGGCGGTCAAACACCACAGCAACGCACGGCTTCACCAATCAAGGGTGCACCTACACCTACGCCGTCCAACTATGGCGCACGACCGGGCTATAGCACACCGGTGTCAGGAGGTCAGATGCGCAGCACATACTACGGACCCTCGCAGTACGGCACTTCACAGCCGCCTGCTGCCACGACCCCTTTCAACGGCATGCCCAACAACCCACAGCAAATCATGCTAGAGCGCCAACAAGCACAAGCGGCCGCTCAGTCGCAGGCCCGGCTCGCGGCCCAGAATAGCTTCAACAATAGCAGGCAAGGCTCCGGAACGCCCCAGCCTCCCAACGGCTCAGTGTATGGTGCCCCTAACGGTGCTTCCATGCCTACGTAGGCGTATTCTGTGAGGGAGCAAAAAAACGATCGGGCGGTTTACAAGGTGTGTGTGTCTGTGTTTTATTTGGATACCATAGATGATTCAAAGGGGCGTTTTTATTCAAAGGAGGGGTTCTGTCTCTGGACAAATGAAGTTATCAATAAGGTACTCGATTATTCAGCCCCCATATGTGCGGTGTTTTTTGTTGCTAAGCGTTTGCGCGTCTGATTAGGGGTTGTTGCTCTTTTTTTCTGCGGAGACCGCGTATTTCTTTTCTAATTAGTGCCTTTTAGATGTCTGGAAAGCAGGGATTGCAATGATTGGGCAGATAGCGAATACGTAAAACGTGGTCCATTGGCTGCTTGTGCCGGATTGGGGTGCTGGGTATTGACTATGTGATGTGAATGCGACAGAGGGAACGAGAAAGTTGTTCTACTAGTTACCTACAGTACGTATGCCTATTGGGCACTCCTCTATTGAACACGACAACTAAATTGATTCTGATTGCGATGAAGGCAAAAGAATAGTGAACGACGGTTGCGACATGATAGTAGCACAACGAAGCATGGTTAATATGCTACATGTATGTACGAAGCAATTGCTCGCATCACAGTCGTGGGGCCTCTCTCGGTCGATCGGAAAAGTCGGAAATACAATTGCCCAACACCAGCGGTATGAAGCCCGCTTAGAAACGCTGCTTGCAGCACGACTGATATTATTTTAGTTATTGTACGCTTAGATGTAGTATTTGTGAAGGTTGGTCGTTTTGGTGGACTAGCCCGCTTGGTCTGGGTTTTCCGACTTTATCGATCGACCGAGAGGCCTATGTGGAGGGCGGAATGCGGGACCCGTGATTACATAAGAGGTTGTTGTGCCTGTTTGAGAACTGCATCATCGCTGTTGAATTGCCTCAAGTCTTCTCTCCTCTTGTCCAAGCATATTATCGCATAGCAAATCGCTCCTTGCCCGCACCCAGGCGTCCATCTCTCCCCGCCTTCTCGTTTCTTTTTCGGTCCTCGCTTATCTGCCCGTCATGTCTGGCCAGCAGTGTCTCCGTCGTCTGCCAGCTGCCGTGCGCTCTGTGCGAGCTTTGCGCGCAAGCCCCCGATGCACTCCTACTGCCCGCTCCTACTCGGCTCTCACCAAAGCCAACTCATCCGGTCTGCTTGGCCAGGCCTCAAGGTGCCGCCAATTGCTCCACCCTACCGACATGCCATTAACTGACACCCCACACAGGCGGCCAGGCCAGCTCTCCTCACAGCGCATTTGCGCTCTCGAGCAGATACGAACCTATGCCGACACCATCGTCAAGGTGCCCGAAATGGCCGAGTCTATCACCGAGGGAACCCTCAAACAATGGTCAAAACGTGCGATTAACTCTCGCTGTTCGACTGCGGGGGCAAGCTAACGACATGTGCAGAGGTTGGCGACTTTGTTGAGCAAGACGAGGAAATCGCAACCATTGAGACGGACAAAATTGATGTTGCTGTAAATGCGCCCGAGGCTGGTATCATCAAGGAGTTCCTGGTCAATGAGGAGGACACCGTCACTGTCGGACAGGAGATTGTGAAGCTCGAGCCTGGTGCGGCGCCAGAAGGTGGAAAGAAGGAAGCCAGCCAGGAGCCCAAGGAACCCGCTTCCCAGGAGCAGGAGACTTCATCGCAACCTGAAGGCCAACAGGAGCAGTCTCAGCCCGAGGCACCAAAGGAGGAGTCCAAGCCAGCGCCTCCTAAGCAACAAGAGCAGCCCAAGCAGGAATCAAAGCCTGAGCCCAAGAAGGACTCCAAGCCAAAGGACGAGCCCAAGCCCGCAACCCCCGGCAGCCGTGAGGAGCGTCGCGTATGTCTATAAAGTCCGTCTCATATTACATGTGCACTAACTGTTCAATACAGGTCAAGATGAACCGCATGCGTCTCCGAATTGCTGAGCGTCTCAAGCAGTCGCAAAACACGGCCGCTTCTCTGACCACCTTCAACGAAGTCGACATGTCCTCGATCATGGAGTTCCGCAAGCTCTACAAGGATGAAATTCTCAAGAACAAGGGCGTCAAGCTCGGTTTCATGTCCGCCTTCTCCCGCGCCTGCATCCTCGCTGCGCGCGACGTCCCCGCTGTCAACGCTTCCATTGAGGGCCCCAACGGTGGCGACACCATTGTGTACCGCGATTACGTCGACATCTCGGTTGCTGTCGCTACCGAGAAGGGCCTTGTCACACCCGTCGTCAGGAACGCAGAGAGCATGGACATGGTTGGCATCGAGAAGGCCATTGCTGACCTCGGCAAAAAGGCACGTGACAACAAGCTCACTATTGAGGACATGGCCGGTGGTACCTTTACCATCTCCAACGGTGGTGTCTTTGGCAGTCTGATGGGTACTCCCATCATTAACCTCCCACAAACGGCTGTGCTCGGTCTGCATGCCATCAAGGAGAAGCCCGTTGCCATCAACGGAAAGGTTGAGATCAGGCCGATGATGTACCTCGCCCTCACCTACGACCACCGACTTCTTGACGGACGAGAGGCTGTTACTTTCTTGGTCAAGGTCAAGGAGTACATTGAGGACCCCAGGAAGATGCTGTTGTAGATATGGGCGTGTTCTTGCGTGTCAATTTTTTGTACATTAGAATAGCATTAGCCTAACGAATGTTCATTCAAAGAGAGTTTAGTTACATTGTATTATCACGGTACGACTGTACATCTCCCGCAACTAGGCTGAAACTCGTAGCATAGCGTAGCTAGCGCTTACATAGACCTATTTTAATTATATTAATACATATGTATGTCAAGAGTACATCGTTGGTAGAAATAATCTAAGAATTGTAGTGCTAAGAATTTCATTGGGTGGTCTTCGTAGATAAAGAGAGCGTATATATCAGATGGTAACTTAGGTAAGTAGAACATCATGTCATACTTATACTTCGAACCGTTGATGGGAGATCGAGTTCGGATGGATTCGTGCCGTTGATGAGATACGATATGGCGAATATATGGGCACAGGAGCGCTTTGCGCAATGTGTTCTTATTGCAAC